ACTCTCTTTGGAAACCCAATGGTTTCCAAGACACAGGCACAGGTTTGGATGTAGGGGCCAATTTTCATAGTCTGTCTATCCAGGAATTTGATGCGTATCTTCCACATCCTGCCCTTTTGGACTCTTGTCCCAAAATGGTTTTCAGTGGGTGATGGGGGTATAGAACAGTCGGAAGTCAACTGTCCTTCTGGATATCGTATGATTTTGTTGACACCAATGCAAATCCTGCGGAGCAAGACAATGACAATAATTCAAAAACAGAACTTGCAGTATTCAACATGAAGTATCGGGGAATAGGAGTGGGGCATTATTCCTTGGTTAGGCATGAACTATCCAGTATTGAGACCATTGCGGTGATTTTCGAGTGAGATGCAGCTCAACACTCCAAAAGTTCCGGGACAATCCGTACGGAAATGCACCTTTGCGTGCTGTCAATTTGAGTCCTGGGATAGTTACTGGGACATGCAGGTGCACACCAGTGCTGATGCTTTTGGCATTTTCACATGTTGAACAATCCATGGAATTTCCAAGGTATGCATTTCTGGTGACGCCATATCTGGGCGGCTTGGTGAAATCGATTTGCGATGCCATTCTTGGCGTCTCTTTAGGCCTTGTTGCGGTGAGCTACCTGGCAGAACAGTGGTTGAATCGGTCAAAAAATTCGAAAATGGAGATGTGCCCGAGGATCGGTGATTTTGAAGGGAACACAATGGAGTTTTTCTTCGTCGTTTTGGGATGTTTTGGGGTTCAATGATTCTTTTGAATTCTTTTGCAGCATTAGTCTAATCAGTCTAGATTTGTCCCTTGGTGGCTGCTGCAAGTATTAGATTGTTGCCGAGAGGAAACAAGTCATGAGTCTGGAACACTTGGGGCCAGTGTCCAATTTTGATATGTTTTAATTCTGACGCTGCAGATATGCAGGACTTGGATACTGGCGCTTGAAACTCAAGACTTCAAAACCACTAGATCTACGTAGAGTTGCCATGTGCTGCCATGGTGCAGAAAATCAGCTGCAAAGAATCAGCCAAGGTTTTTTGAACCTGATGCTCCCTGGTGGAGCAGCTGGGCCTGAATATCTGACTTCAGACTACTTCGAGCGAGCCTGGTTGCCGTTTAGATGCTTGGTGTGCTCGGATCCTTGTTAAAGATGACATTGTTTGCCTTCAACATTCGAGACATTTTCGAGACTTTGTAAAGTTTGTCAAGAGGGGTTGTGGCTCAAAATGAATGGCACATATTGAACGCGGTTAGTGGGTTTACTAGTGACCAAATGCAAGGGTCCTTTGGTACTCCTTCTTGAGCCCTGACCATGTCAGGATATAGCACGCCTGCTGCCTTTTCACTGGCCTTGTGCCTTACGTATGGCAACTTGGAAGCGGTGTGATTTTGCCCGGCGAGAGACATGAACGAACAGGATGGCTTGGATGTTTGATTCCAAAGAGTTTCGACCCTTCATGTTTCATTAGCACTCATCACTAGCACTCATTGAACAGATTGAAGATTGAGAAACTGCGATCCCAGAATCCAATACTCTGTTGAAACCTACGAAGTGGTGAGAGATTCAAACTCGTCCAAACATTGCCATGGCCATGGTGATTTCCATTGAGGCCTCTTCGTAAGCAACTTGAGCGTTGCCAAGAAGCAGTATCTTGGATATTCTTGGATTTGATATCACATTATGTCACTATATTATGACTATATTATGACTATATTATGACTATAGTATGACTATAGTATGACTATATTCACATATATTCACTATGTTTTTCCCAGCTCTTAATCCACTAGAACTGGTTTTCATCTCTGGCTGGAGAAATCCACCGAAGTATGTCAAACTTCGCCAGCTCCCAGCGTCCCAGCAGCCCAGCTATCATCATAGGATTTCCCATGGATTTCCCATGTTTTTGAGGACACAGAAAGATGGTACCCTCTGGTAAACATACAAAAAACTATGGAAAGATCCACCATGTTTAATGGGAAAATCCACTATAAATGGCCATTTTCAATAGCTATGTTAAATTACCAGAGGGTATAACTCTTGATGACTCCCCCCAGCCCCAAACACATCCAAGGTATGCCATGTGCATCTATTCTGAGTTGCTGGTGCCCTTTATGAGTCCACATACCCGAACGGGCTTCCGTGCCGTCGCCTGGCGGAAACAGTTGAGTGCCGGAGAAGAATTGTTCATATCCGTTAGTAATGTTATTGTCCCGTTACTATACTATTGATGTCCGTTCATATCCATTCATATCCATTGATATCCATTCATACAGGGAAAAGCTTAAGTCGTTTCTTTTTTTGATTTTTGCACACCCTTTCAGCACAAAATGGTTCTAGGATGTCGTACCTTTTCCTTCATTATGCTTGTGATTCCCATGTTTTGGGATATGTACGGGTTGATCATGTGTTGTGCTGTGGAAGACGCGGTGCCTTGCTGTTGTGCCTGCTTGGGGCTTAGATATGACTAGTAGGTAGCCAATCAGTTCTATGGCGGTGTCATTGTGAATTGTCTTTGCAATGAATTATGTTCCTTCCAGGCAGAAGCAGACATGTTTAGAAGCGGCCGCAGAAAGGGCTGGCACAAGCCGCCACAACCAGAAGTTCCGCAGCTACCAGAAACACCCGCAGAAAGAAGGCTCGCTCAAGGAGTTGGCGATTTGCTGGGCCGGCTCCGTCGAGGTGGTGCAGCTCAAAGCGAAGATGCAAGTGCCAAACCTTCGCAGACTGGTGACGGCGTTGCAGAGATCCAAGAACCACCTTGCAAGCAGCAAAAAACAGAACATAAAGCGGCATCTTTTTCGAAGCCTTCTACTGTGGAGCTGGGGCCGGAGCCTTTGGAGGAGGATGAAGATGCATCAGACCCAGAGTGGAATCTCAATAGCCCAGATGATTGCTGCTCCTTTATTGAGCATTACTTTCCTGCAAAGGAGGCAGAGGCCTTGGGCGTTTCAATCGACATGTTCTCCAAAGTTGCCAAATTTTATGTGAATTTCTTGCGAACCAAGAGAACTCCCAAAGCAGATTTGTGCGTACATTTTGCCAAAGAAATTATCGAACCAAAGACCCTGAACTCAAAAGCTGGGCGAAAGAACTGGTTGCAGACCTGGCTGACGGAGCGCAAGCGTGTCTTCGTACCGAAGACTTAAGTGAGGAAAAAAGTTGCCTGTTTGCGATGCCATGTGTAAGGCACTGTAGAGATAGCGGTGCCATGCAGGAACGAGAATCCGGAGTTGATTTCATACAATGTTATTTGAGCCTTCTAATGATAGCTATTCCATGCTAAAACGGGGGTTTGGAACATCTACTTAGCACTTTGTTGTGCATATCCCCATCGCGGTGCCATGCTGAAACGCCGGGTGGGCATGACTTAGGCGTGACTTCTGGAAACAGCGGTGCCATGCAGAAGTAGGGTTAGGGCATGACTTAGGTATGAGTTAGGCTTCCCGCTGTATCCATTGATATCCATTGATATACTTCCCGCCGGGTTGGAAATGGGCCGAGTAAAAACAGCATTTTCATGTGACTGGCAAGAATTCAATCATGCGTTTCGCAGTGTTTCTTCATGTTTTTATGTTGTCCATGAAGGTCAATTCTATTGTGATTTTGAATTTTCATTGGGGTTTACTGTATATAGTTGACATGTTGGAGTGCGAAAAAGGTTCCTTTTGGGAAGTCAGCGTGCCCAAAACCTCAGCTGCAGCCATTTTTTCCGGTGATCTCTACATCTTCGCTAAGTACGCACCTGTTTTCTCCAACAGGGCTTTTCCAACTACATTTGCCTCCCATCGCCACTGCCATGTGCGAACGTACGTCCAAATGAGGTCTTTCAATTTTTGTTCGTTTTCTGGGCAAGATGTCAACTGATCGGGAACACTGGCTTTGATCATACGCCAGCACGAGTGGATGGTGCCAGTATGAACCCAGAAGGTTTTTCCAGCATGTCTGCGGATCTTTTTGATAAATTGGATTTTGCGATGTGAGTGCGCAAGTACATGAACGTTATTGCCCCACCCCACCCCAACCCACCCCACCCCAGCCCTGCGTGACGTGACACATCTTCAACGTAGCATGACGTATGTGCGCACGTGCAAGTGAACGTGCCGTGGCGTAACATCATGGGAGTGCGCAAGTACGTGAACGTTATTGCCCCACCCCACCCCACCCCCAGCCCTGCGTGACGTGACACATCTTCAACGTAGCATGACGTATGTGCGCACGTGCAAGTGAACGTGCCGTGGCGTAACATCATGGGAGTGCGCAAGTACGTGAACGTTATTGCCCCACCCCACCCCACCCCACCCCAAGGAACATATTTAAAAATGCCTAAAACGCTCGGACGGTTTTCAACCCGTAGGCACAAACATATATACATATATATATATTATATACCATTATATACCAAATTAACATGGACCCTGAAAATAGCACAATCGAAAATCATGGATTACAATTTTCCAACTCCCCATTTGCCAGGGTCCCTTTGTTATTTCTTATGCTGGTACCTGAATTTGGCGCAGCGGAAGCAAATATGATCTGGAAAATAGAGGGGCCGGTTTCTTATTTATTACCCTCAGGTAAACAAACAGTTTGCGATTGAACATGGCCCAGTCGAAATAGTTAATTTACCCAGCTACACAGCATGGTGATTTTCCATTGTTTTTTGTATGTTTACCAGAGGGTATCATCATGTATCATCTATATCTACATATTTATTGCTTGTTCAAAAGGATCCCTCAATGAATATCATCAATATTAGACACCCCCGACGCCTCCGGTCCCAGGTATATGTGGTTTCCAACAAAAACCCATGGGTTTCGTTCGGGGTCTTTAAAGTGATCAACAGTCAATTTCATGACATACCCTCCAATAACAAACGTGGCTGGAAAATCTCAAACATGGAAGGTTATAACTGGGAAAAATCATTGTCATCTACATGAGTCTAGGATTTCACAGCCATGTTTGATTTCCCATGAACCTACAAGGTAACTACAGGGTATACCTACGCCAAAGTGCAATGTGTGACATCCAGCTCCTTCAACTTTGGGAAGAGGCGCAATCGCCCGCCCGTCCAATGATCTTTCAGGCGCTCGAGCTCTTCTCCGACAGGAACGAACTGCACCGAAGTCTTTCGAAGCTGCAAAATGAGCAAATCTTTACCTTGAAGTTGGGGATCCCAAACATATAGACATACATCAACATTTGTTGGAATATAAATATATATATATTTATGTATGTATAATGTCTCTAATAGTATATAATTATATCTATATATTTTATAATTATATAATGTACATTTTTTAGGGGAAATATGGTTTAAAAATGTTTAAAATCCGTATCTTGATTCATAATTCATAACTCATAACCACATATGTTCCGTAAATACCCTTTCGCTATTCCGAAATATACATTTATTTTTGGCATCAAACTCATGGAACATAGAATCTCAGTTGCCAGGTTGCACTTGCTTCTCCAGCTGCTATCTACCCAGCCACTGACTGAGGTATAGGACAGGTCCACTTCTTTGAGAATCGGAAAGCGCGTCAACGAGGACAACCGGCCTGTGATGTTGGTGCGGCCAAGCTTCAGATGTCGCAATCGGCGCTTGCTGATGGACTCACTACTATACCTTGGTCGTGGATCCCATGTCATGTGACTCAAGAATCAAAGCCTACACAAACTACACTGAAACTACGCTTTTTACACTTCACACATCTCCACACTGCCTGCAGTCAACAAAGCCTACAATCCACATGCACAAAACACCAAGGGACAAGGTTTCATGGCACCAAAACCTAGCCCGGGACAATGTTGTGTGCAACTTTTTGGGGATGGACCTTATGGACCTGATGGACCATGAATGATTCGCCTTTTTGAAACCACCCTGAAAGAAAGGTGGATGTTTGTGCCCTTTCGACTCATTGCGAACATGTTTGCACTTTACCATACTTTATCTGAACTCGATTTGGTTGGAACAAAAGAAATCGATGAAAATCTGCGGTGAAAGCCCCAGAAACCAATCGACATCTCCAACTAAGCTCTGCAAGTCTCCCGAGATTGCTGTGCCGCTCAAATCCAGCTCTCTTAGCTCCATGCGAGCTAAACTCTGCAGATTTCCCGAAATCTTGGTATCCGCCAACAGCAACCTCTCATTTTTGGGCTGCAAACACCGCAACAAATCATCAGCTTCTCTGAGAGGCACTACACTCACTCTCTGAGATCGTCACAGTCATATGGGGTCGTTGTCACGTCTAAGAATGGGTAGGAAATTGTTTGGGGATTTTTTTTTTTTTAGTTTGGGGATTTTTTTTTGGATTTCCGGTTCTCACCATTTTCCATGCTATTTGCAGCATTTTGGAGCTGGAAACTGCCATTTCCACGGTATGTGCAACGGTTTTGAGTTCGAACCTCTCATTTTCCATTGTATATTCCACGGTATTTGCAACAGTTTGCAGCATGTTCTGTCCATTTTCCATGCTCTTTGCAGCATTTTTGAGCTGGAATCTGCATTTCCACCGTATGTGCAACATTTTACAGCTACATTCCTCACAGTACTTGCAGGATTTTGGAGCTGAAGGCTGACATTCCAACAGTTGTTTGTTGTTACTGTTACTGTTGTTGGTGTTGGTGTTGGTGTTGTTGTTGTTGTTGTTGTTGTTGTTGTTGTTGTTGTTGTTACCGTTAGTGTTGTTAGTGTTGTTAGTGTTGCTAGTGTTAGTGTTGTTAGTGTTGTTATATATATATATACAATATATATATACATATATATATATATACAATATATATATATATATATATATATACAATATATATATATATATATTCTAACCAAAGTAGTGTATTGAAATGTGTGCAAGCTTGAATTTAAATAAAAAAAAGCGGGAGGGGGGGATTGGGGGGGACGGCGCAGCGCCTCCCCCCCAAAGCAGATTGGAAACACCTATTTTCACATGCAAGGTGCTAGGTTGAATGTGATACTCAAGGTGTATATACTACACGACATGCACCTTGGAAACATGTGGAATGTAGGTTAAGGCACAACGATGCACAATAGTTTCATTTGATGTTATCATCGAGTTGGTTTAAGATCTATTTATATAAGGTTTGGTTCAGGGTTGGCTTGGGGTTTGAATATCATCCGCATGATAATGCAAACCTTTTAGGTAGATATATATATATATACAGATATATATATATAGATATAGATATATAGATAAATAGATATATATATTTAAAGATATATAGATATAAAGATATATGTATATATACATATAGAAATATAGATAGATATATACAGATATATAGATATATGGTGGTATAAATATATATATATATACAGAGAGAGAGATATAGATATATAGAGAGATATATATAGATATAGATATATAGTATATATATAGAGAGAGATATAGATATATAGATATATAGATAGATATGTATAGATAGATAGATAGATAGATAGATAGATAGATAATTAGATAGATAGATAGATAGATATATAGATAGATAGATATATATGTATATAGATATCTAGATATAGATATATATAGAGATATATAAAAATATATAGATATATATAGAGATATATAGAGATATATATAGATATATAGATATATATATAGAGAGAGATATATATATATAGATATATAGATATATAGATAATTATATAGATATATGATATATATATAGGTATATAGATATATAGATACAGCCATAGATGTAGATATAGATACAGATATAGATAGACATAGATAGATATAGATACGTAGATATAGATAGATATAGATAGATATAGATAGATATAGATGGATATAGATGGATAGAAGATGTTGCTCCACACCTCATGGAAAAGCAAAAAAGCAAAGAAAAGCAAAAAAGCAAAAAAGCAAAGAAAAGCAAGAAAAGCAAAAAAGCAAAGAAAAGCAGAAAAGCGAGAAAAGCAAAAAAGCAAAGAAAAGCAAGGAAAGCAAAAAAGCAAAAAAGCAAAGAAAAGCAAGAAAAGCAAAAAAGCAAAGAAAAGCAGAAAAGCGAGAAAAGCAAAAAAGCAAAAAAGCAAAAAAGCAAAGAAAGGCAAGGGAAGCAAAAAAGCAAAAAAGCAAAGAAAAGCAAAAAAAACAAAAAAAGGAATAGAAGCAAAGAAGCAGAGAAGCACTGCAGGAGGCAATAGAGTAAGCAGGAAGAAATCCAAAAAAAAATCCCTAAACTAAAAAAAATAAATCCCTAAATAAATGGCCCTCCTCTAAGAATGGTTATGATGGTTACTCAGAGGCCGTTCACTGAACTAGTTGAAGGCTTGACTTTTCAATCTTACAGGCAGGATACAGATATCTCCATTATCTCCGATTTTGGCGGCAAAACTCCTAGGGTAAATGCCTTAAGGTTTCATATTTATTGCATATATGTGGGACTGTGCCACGGTCTAAAGATGCTGGTCATGGGCTATGGTCATCCGTCCCATGGCACGGATGAAAAATGCCATCCCTTCCAGGGCGGAATTTCCGTGTGGGCCAGGTTCCGAAACGCGGGGTGACATTAGAGGTGGTGTACTCTCAAACAACTGCCATCAACTCATTTCTGAATTGAGCCATACAAGAAAACCAGCAGCCTTTGGGTGAAAAATGGTGAAAAATTGTCAAAAGATCATTTTTAAGATCCGTGCCTGACGAAATTGTCCTCCCGGAAGACTTCAAGTTCACCTGTGATCTCTGTCCCCTTGAGCTCCAAAGAATTGAGTAGTTGAATCCCGCTGAAGGCTTTGATATTGCCAGTGAGCGTGGGCGATGTGAGACTTACCTCAGATCTGACAGATCTGACGGATCTGACAATGGATCAAGCTAGGCAGCTAGTCACCTCCAATTGGCACATGGCATGTTTCAGAGACTGGCAACAACTTCGCGAAGTTGCCAATCAGTGCAGTCCAACACCCCTATGTTTTTCATCATGTTTTTGCAACTAATCACATCCCCCTAACATTAAACACCCCTAACATCCACCATGGTTTTGGGGCCTTTGGGGGATGGAAACAAAATGACTGTCACTTGACACATTTCACAAGAAGAGTGTCTTCCCAGAGATGCCGGAGCTCAATTTTCTCCGGCAGATGGCCGCTGCAGTTCTCACATTCGATCTTCTCGACTCGGCAGTTTTGCCAACAAGTGATGCCGGGCCAGTCACAGTGGTTCCCTTCCAAAGGGCCTGAGCGAGCTTGCCGAATCCCCAAACATGGCCCTCCTTGCTTCATCAACGATGGAACACAACAACTGCCGCAGTCATCAACCAGTAGAAGCTTCCTTCCCAAAATCCATGAGAATCACAAGGGAAATCGAAAAAAATCCACAACATCTCTGGTTCTTGGTTCTCTCCCCAAAATCGAGCCTGGATAAGCCAGATCCCGCATCAACTGCTCGATTCGTTTGGCTTCCTCCAGACATCCATCTCGACCTGGATCTGCCAGTGGATGGGAATCATTTTTTCCAACTCAACCAGTCGGCGATCGGATTGTCAAGTTATGTCAAGTTGGAGGTAAATGACAATTATGACAATGACCATTTTCCAACCAAACCGTAAGCTACCTCAAACCAGAAGTGAACAACTGGTTTGCAGATTCACAGTTCTTCCATAGCTGTCTTGTGGGGCAAGGGTCAAGGGTCAGCGGGACTTGAGGAGTCGTGAGATGTTTTTGACATGAGCCTAGTATGCTGGGTGTTGGATGCCATGTGCATGCCGACCGATGGTGCAGCATGCCCCTTAAGGCATAAACAAGGTAACGCCGCCCGTAAAGATGCGGGCTGTTTTGCACTCAGGCATTTCTGATGTGCTTCAGGACATGTGGCACAGCTGTCCACAGGTCTTTGCCATTGTTGCATCTGTACTGCCAGCTGTAGGTCCATTGCCAAAGGCTTTGAAGTTAGTTGTGAGAAGATGTAGACAAGATGTTACAACGTAGCATCAACCTCGTCTCAGAAGTAAGTTACTGGAGAGAAGATGTCACAACGTAGCATCCAGAGCGTATCCGAAGTTAGTTGTGAGAAGATGTAGACAAGATGTTACAACGTAGCATCAACCTCGTCTCAGAAGTAAGTTACTGGAGAGAAGATGTTACAACGTAGCACCCAGAGCGTATCCGAAGTTAGTTGTGAGAAGATGTTACAACGTAGCATCCAGAGCGTATCCGAAGTTAGTTGTGAGAAGATGTAGACAAGATGTTACAACGTAGCATCAACCTCGTCTCAGAAGTAAGTTACTGGAGAACGTTAACATCACCCCACCCCCCCCACCCCAACCCCAGCGTATGTCACGTAACGCTTCCAAGGAACGTTAACATCACCCCACCCCCCCCCACCCCAACCCCAGCGTATGTCACGTAACGCTTCCAAGGAACGTTAACATCACCCCACCCCCCCACCCACAACCCCCCCACCCAGACAACCCACAAAAAGTATGAACGCAGTAAAAAAACGTTAAAAAAACCCGCGTCTCTACGGGCGGCGTTAGCATAAACAATCATAGGCATGACTTAGAATTTCAAGAAATCTGATTTCAATTCAAGATCATGCACCTTGGGAACCATTCCTGTACTACATTCATTTATTGGACCTGCAATTTCAATCAATTTCATCAAGCTTAAGGCCTGCTCCCCGCAGGATCCCAAAACTTGAGACATCGAAGTCGCGCCAGATCGCGCCTGCGTCCAACACGAGACTTTCAGGCTTCAAGCTGTCTCTTATCGCTGCTCCGGGAAGCAGCGCCCATTGCAAAATGACACTGGCAAACGGTCCCATGTCCTGTCCTTAGGACCCGCGACCGGTTCGGTGAATTCGGCCAAACATGGCCCGATAAAATCAATATGGACAGGTTTTTGCAACAAACGAGAAGTAGCGAGCGGCACTTAAGCCAAAACGCCTGTTTCAAAGAGGATGCTGAAACCAACATGGTTCACATCACACCAAAGAAATTGCACGAATCCTGAACCAGATCAGATTCAATCAAATGTTTAGTATCGTTCTTTTGCTTGAAGGACTCTTCTATTTTGAGACCATCTGTCACATGATTCAAGACCTTATCCCAACATCATCAAACCCAACATGTTCGACGGCCATCTCTCAGTGCTTCACCATCCCAGCGGTCTGGGTCCCTGGGTCGTCCTTTGAGGCACAGGGATACGGAGAGATTGACAAAGCACGGTGGAGACCACTGGAGCCGTCAGACATGGGATGCCTCCATATTCTCCATTCCGAGGCTAGCAAAACTGAGGCAAATCCGAATGTTTCCAAATTCCAAGCTCCAAAGCTGAGGCAACACCAAAAAGCCAACACACTTTGAACTGACACGACTGCTGTCTCTTGGCGAGAATACAACCCAGCCAGAAGCCATTGAAGTCTTTGTATCCATGCCTAGTTCAATTCTGGTTTGTTGGAAACCCAATTCGAATTGCACTTTAGAGGGGCTATGGCTCCAAAAGAGCGACAAAAAGCTGACTCTGCGGGGTCTGAAATACCATATAGCTGTGGGTAAAAAGGCCTGGATTTGGGGATGTTAAAAATCAGAAAATCCGGAAAATCATAGGTTTTGATCCATCTCCACATGTAGCGGCTCAAGAAGATGGTTTATGGTCATTGACCACCCCAAAAAACAATCCCACACCCGACTGGCTAGATCATCCAACTTGACCATGGCACAAAAAAGGCTGTGTCTGAAAATGGCAACTATACATGTTTATAGGGATTTATATCATAATATATCAATTGCAATATATCATAATATATCAATTTCAATGGGATTTATATATATATGGGATTTATACCCATGACATATATCATAATATATGAAATGGGCAATAGCGACCGGATTCACCATGAAATCGGGTGAAAACTGTGAAGATTTTCATCACCAGTTGCTCCTCAGGCGCTATCAACCTGCAAGGGCCTGCCCCAGGGGGGTAAAATTGCTGGTGATTTATGATGGCTTACTAAATTTGGGGATCTTTTGGGCTCAAAAATTGGTTTACCACATGTTTCACGGGTGAAACTGTGAGCTACTCAATGCTACTCAGCTACTCTGCTTAGATCTCATGGAAAAAATAAGATGGATCGCATGAGGCAGCCTTTCTGGAGGCTAAAGAATAGATCAACCATGATCAACCCATGACAAAACCTAGGCGACTGAGTGCGGTTCTCTGCTTCCAAACCCGAAACCCCAAACCGCCTTCTTGACATGCGGCTCACTAACGCGCACAGATGTCATGATGTTTTTCGGCAGCCGAAAAGCTTCATGGAGGATGTCCACTTTGCTGGGACAACTTTGCTGATTTAATCCTGGGAATCCATGAAAACCCTCTAGTTGCAATCTTTATTCCTCAATGCCTCTATCTCTTGAGGCTGAAATGTCTGTAGCCGCTGATATCGACATCCTTAGTGAAGTGGAAGTCACGCCACCACAACTTTGTCAGGAAAAAAGGGCTGCTCTTCTGCTCTTCTGGCACAAAATGTCGCTTTTCTTGCCAGAAAGCTTAGACTTTTCAAAGAGAACCTTCTTGAAATCTAGGAATCCTGCATCCCAAGATGATTCTTCCAAGTGGACCGTGGAAATAAAATATCATAATATTACAAATCTATCTTATAATATATATATATGTTATATATAATTATATTTATATATATATGTGTGTTACAGTTATATAGTTATTAAATATATAATAATATATAGAAATCATATGAAATCATCATTTCAATGTCCACTGAACTCCACTTTCAGCTCTTTTCGAAACGCTCGGTGTCAGGAACCTGTCCAAAGCGCTCAGCCTGCGAGGTGCCACGCCAAGCCTTAGGGATTTGATCGTCCCAGGAATCGTCACTGGATGATCACCCAATAATTTATAACTGGTTGGTGGTTTTAACCATGGCAAAATATTAGTTATAATAAGCCAGTTATAATGTTATAATAACCCAGTTATAATAATAACAATAATAATCATCATCATAATGGTAAATAAGTTAGAATAACCCAGTTATAATAATAAACCCATTAAATGGTATTTTAAACCAATGATAACTAGGTATTTATATTTATAGCTGGTTGGTGGTTTTAACAATCTTGAAAAATATGAAAGTCAATGGGATGGATTCGGATGGATTACCCCATATATTATGGAAAAATGAAACATCTTTGAAACTACCAACCAAATATTTAGAACCCAGTTATACCTAGTCATATAGATTTATATATAACATTGATAACCATAAATTTACAACCCAGTCCCATGTTTGATTGTGGGAGGGTTTACCACGTAACAGCTGGAGCAACCACTGGAATCTTGGGCCGGGTAAAAATCCCCATGTGTTGGAGCAACCACATAAAATCACAGACGCAGCTAGTCTGAAAGCCATAAATTACAAGGACTTCAGTGGGAATTGGATCAGATTCCACCCGTCTTCAGTCGGGTTCCAGGCATTTTCGTCCACTTTCATGACCACGGCCTGGAAGAACTTCACCACTTCACTGGCACCTCTTTGTTTCATCCTTTTGATCCGGCAAAGGCGAACACTGCACAGTTCACACTTATATAAATGGCCTCCAAATTGAACTTCAATGCAGCCTCATTGACTTTTCTGACCTGGAGCTGGATGTCAATTCAATCTGGGAATACCACCATGACACCACCTTGACGTGGCTATCGCTGCCCTTTTCACACAGATTCCTTGTCGTGACACCGTGTCGTCTAGTCATTTAACATTCGCCATGGCAAAAATATCCAGTGATAGCCATGATTCACCTATCATTTCCCTCACCATTTTCCATGGCAAAATGTTAGATTGCTAGAGCTGCTAGAGGGTAATGTGGAAAACCCAAATATCAACCACCCCCAAGTCCCCAACATCGCCATAAAAGGCTGGGATTTCAACTTTCCCCAGTCATAAAAGGCCAGGATCAGCCAGGGTTGCCCACTTGCCATCCAGGACAGGACAGGAGCGACCTGGAACGATGAACAAAAGCGCCGGAGGGTGCTAGATTTCCTGCCATTTCCTAGTGTTTGGTGTTTGGTAGCCATCTTGAGACATGATTTGATCTATAATTCTTCAAACATATCTGCTATCAACATTTATCAACAAGGTGCTATAACAAAGGTGACAGGACCGAGATCTTTAAGGCAAGAACACATTTTCTTGAGCGCTGCTGTACTTCAAAGGCCTCAGCAGAAGAAAAGTGCTCCAGGGTTTTGAACATCAGAATGACACTGGAAGAAGTACCGACAAGCATCAGGTAATATGATTCCCTTGCTGAATGTGAAGATTCCATATGATTCCCTCGCTGAATGTGAAATTAAATGGCTTCGACCTGCAACCGCTGCAGCCGTTCACCAAAGTGGCAGTCGTTTGCTCAGCAAAAAGGCCAGGGCACAATCCTCAGTGCAGAGATCCCGTGGACAAACATGTCCCCAAAAAGAGGCGACTGAAAATGGGCTCCAAAATGGCAACTCTTTTTCCGAAACGAAAATCAACCGGTTCAAGGACAGCCAATTTTCATCAATTCTCATCAATTTTCAGGCAAAGCCCAACTTGACTCAAAATCGTGGCGGAAGCACGGTAAAAGAATTGCAATTCTTCAGCACGTGGTCCTTAAAGAACAACACCCAATGTCTTGCGTCTCACAACCGTTGGCCAGTCTGCCGAATCATGGAATTTGCATGTTTGATCATTTTTGACTAAGCCATTTGGGTGTCTGAAAATGGGGCACAATCCAAAAAATGGCAACTCTACTAGATGCAAACATGATGATGATGTAACCCATGAATGGAATGGAATTGTTTCAACATTTTCAGACCAACCCATATTGTAGCCCAATCATATGACTGGTGAAAAATCAAAAAAAATGTTGATAGCAAATCCCAATTTCTATCAGAAGTTTTACTTACTGGTGCTTAGCAAAGAATGGACGGGAATGGGGGTTGCTGGGATTCTTATTGATAGTTATTATAGATAATTCCCCCATTCCCTACGAAGCACCAGTAAGTTTATAGTCTTGAAGCGTCTCAGTCCCGTGCATAGCTATTGGGCTCAAAGAAAGGGCTGAGGCATTTCTGCAGCATCTCGCCCGTGCGTGAAGTGAGACCCACCTGTCATGAAACGACAATTTTTTTCACCCGTTGCCTCAACAAAGACATGGACAATTTCTGCATTGGTTTTTACGAAAAAAATAAGTGGAAATCCTCTTTCTTACCATTAAACATGTATGCTCTCTTCCGCTTTTCGCAAAATTCAAATCTGAAAATCCGTTTGTGGAGAGGGAATCCTTTCAAACCCATTGATGTTTTTGAGGAGTTACAATTATTGAACCCCTGGCGAGGAATGATAGATCCAATTACATGGTTAAATCATGGAAAGTCCCAATTTCAGCTGGTTAACTCCCATTCGAATCCCATTCCTGATGGCTAAAATCCCATGTATCTCAGATTTGTCTTCCAAAACCATGGATTCCCATGTGGCCTGAAAGACCTTTGTTCCAGGCTTGTTTCGATGCGACTGTGGTGGCTGAAAGCGTTTTGCTGCGAAGGACCAACAAACTCCAGCATCAGAGAACCAGTACCTGAGGATTTCGAGTGGGTCAATTTTTTCATTCGAGCAACATCCAGCAGAAAAACTTGATTTTTGTTTCCCTTAAGAAATCCTGTTGATCAAACAGTTTCTGAAAGCCCGTTGTGTTTTAAGCAATCGCTGGTCCCTCACCTCTGGAGATGATCGACATTTTTTATGCCAGAAGATTTTTCAGCCTTGACAAATCCAATGGTGTTAGGACTCCACTCGTGCTGTTGGAGAATGATGCTGGTGTAATATGCCTGGCGGATTTGAAATATCCAGATGCCGATCTCAGCAGCAGAACTGGACATCATTCAAGGGTTGTGGAAGGGTGAGAAGGATCATCTCGAACCTCCGAAAAGAATAGATTGAATAGATATCAAGGTCATGTTTCAGTACCACAAAGCTGGGAGGATTGGAAAATAAGTACGAGTATCGCAAAGCTTCTAAAATGAAAACATAAGAAAATAAGAAACCATTTCACCATAATTCACCGCTCAAGACACCCACACTATTTCGAGATGCCACCGTGTCACTTCCCTGGAAACTAGTGCTGGGTTTGGGTGCAAAAGTTTGATATACATCTTTTGGGATGTCCCCACACAGGATTCTGACAATGTTGTAGAGTAAGGCCCAATAGAACAGAACAGTGATGAACGGTGTTTCCCGGATGGTTATAGATGCTATTTACCACATTTCTCGAGGTTCCACTTTTCTATCTATTTTGGGGTTGCTATATTGGGCTTCTTTACTCATCTTCACTCTCCAATGCTTGGCCGCTGAAAAAAAACACCTGCTCTGGCACGTCAGTGTGGCTCGTGGCGATATCCTCACGTGAAGAATGCTTTGCTTCCCAAGCTGCTGCCTCCCATCTACCCCCACCAGTGGATTCTCCACAAAATAGACGCATCAATAGGTCCACCTCCAATTGTTTGTCATGTTTCTGATGTAGTTGCGGATTTCATGAAAGTGAAACATACCATACATAACCTACCATCTTCCCTCTGGTAATTGAAAATAGCTATGGAAAATCACCATCGTTGAAGGTAAATCGAATCTATCACTGGGACATTCTTCTTAACTAAATTCAATTACCGGAGGGCACGTTTGGAGCCGATCAGTTGATACCCCGGCGGTCCACTGGCCAGTGATCTTGATGCTTGATAGTGATGTACCTTGGATGCAATCACAAACAAAGGATCTTTACACAATTTATGGCCGGTTTAACATATCCGATAACTATGTTATCATAATTTATATACAGAAAGGGATGATATCATATTCTGTATATGAATTATGATAAAATAGTTAGATGATGGGGTTATTCTGAGTTATACTAATACGGCTTCGCACCCTGTCTTTCGTGCAGATATCTTTAGTGCCTAGTGTGATTTGAAGGTTGTTTCATGGTGGTGGAAACGTCGAGACATGGTCCTGAAAAAAGGGTTGCCCCAGTTTGTTCATAGGCAGGTCACACCAGCACCTGACCGCATACCATTGTAATGACTCCACTTCAATCTGAGTTCCGTACGCATTTTGGCATCTGCTACAGTCACTACATGGAACTGCACCCATTGGTCGACTTTGCACCAGATTTGATACTGAGATGGTTCACAACGGAATGGTTCCTCAACGCACTCTCAACTTAAATGCAAAACCAGAGGGATAGTGAAATCTGCTCCAGTGGTCGGAAACATCTAAGCAACAAAGTGAGCATCAACGCATAAACACTGTTGCTGTTTTGCCTCAAGCTACGCAGCTTTCAATGCGTCACCGCTACCAACCCCTACGATTCCAGCTCTTCAATCAATCCGCCTCAGCACAGTGACACTCAGAACGGTTGCAATCATTCAGCTGCAAATGCTCGGAAAATTCTGTTCAGTTCCTTCATCACTCCCACTGAAATGCGAATTGGGTCTTCCCATCTTTTCCCCTCAGTATTGGGTGCACAGGGTTTTGCGATGTCTTGCACTTCCTTTTTTAATCTTACTTCTGGCACCTCATAGGAAACAATCCAAACCCTCAGTGCGATTTGGTTCCAAACTTGAGGAACTCATGCACTTAGGAAATGCATCTGCACGCTCTATTTCTTTCAAAGACTCAAGAAGCAGGCTGGCTCAGATGCTACCAATGCATTGCGCATGAGTAGGGGCGATTCCAACGCGCCAGTTCCAAACCTTTTGCAAGGCACTTGGCCACGTGGGATTGAAAAAAATGAAGGCCATGTCAATCAGGACAGCATTTGATGCGTGCAGATGTGCAGGAGGTACATGCAAAATCTGAAACCTGTTCAGCTTTGTGCCCAACTTCTCAGTGCGACAAATGCACTGCAAATACCTTCTGCTTCTTTCACAAATAGTAAGTAAGTACAGAAGTCGAGCACGGCCAATGAAAGGGCAGCAGGACAAACGTGACAACTCACACCTGGTAGCTTGCCACTTGCGTCAAATCCACGGCCACCTCAAACATTGCAAGCCCTGCGCATTTCGCGCATGGAATCATGCTGCGGGCAGCCATGTTGGTTTCCCTGGCCTCTCCAAACAATGCCTCCTGCTCGCCAATTCTGCTCCTCCAGAACTCTTGCGAGTGGACGACGCTGCATGGCAGCATTCTGCATTTGACTCGGAAGGCAACGCCTTTCTTGCATGCGCACGCATTTGGGGCTGCTTCTGCAAGCTCCGTCACTGCGCCAGCAACTGCTTTACAAGCAGAGCCGCGTCAAAGGCTGTCAGCTCTTGAACTGCAACAGGTGCCCAAAAAAAACAACATTGTGAAGCTAGCTTCCTGGCCAGCATGACACGCAGCTCGGCCAGCCCATCTGCCCACTGCTCTGCATCTTATCCCGCGATCTCGCGCAGCTGAAAGCAGCCCCAAGCAACAAGCTAATCCGGCACACCCTGCTCAACCACAAACAGAAACCAAGGGTTTGCTGCTCTTAGGGGCAACTACTCACGACAGGCTGTCATAACTAGCAATGAATCACAAACACTCAGCCAGCAGCTTTGCGCAACGTGGCCGAAGCTTCTGCGGAATCGGCCACCATTGAACTTGGCTCACGCTGGCTCACCCCAAAGTGCTCCCTGACTTTGCTTGCCAAACTTTTCATTTCAGCATTGTGAACTCAAGGCATTGTGCAAAGCAAGGGACATGATCCCTGCCGCTGCTTGCAATCCGCGGCTCTGCCGGCCCGCCAGAGCCTGCAACTCGTTCACAAGCTGGCCTTGCCAGTGCACAGGAGTTCATATAATATGAACTCCTGCGCGCTCGCCAGGCAAGGCCAGCTTGTGATAGCAACTTGAAAGATTTGGATCACTGCCACTTGAAAGAAATTTCTCACACCCAGAGATGCTGCTTCATCACTTCCCACAGGGCTGTGCTGCTGTCAAACATTCCCAACTCAATGCCATGCCGGTTGTCTGCAACGATCCTCCGTTGGGTCTCCCGCAGCAATTGCATCCAAACACGTCTCTGCGCTAAGGCCGTGGCCGGAAGACACCACACACTGCTGGCGAACCGCCAGGGCTCCCCATACAAGCATGAAGGAACAAGGCGCGCTCAGTCGCTCAGTAGCTGATAAGTCAAAGTAACGAAGTAAATGTTGGCAAGAAATCTTGAGCCCAAACATCCGACCCACGACTGCACAAAAGATGTTGCTCCTTTCTTTGAACCAGTCCTTCTCCGTGATCTTCTCCCCTTTGAACCACTCACACGACCCTCCTCTCCATTCTGCTCCGAGTTTGATGCATACATGTAGTTCGTCTGTGCCATCATCATCCCAAGTTGATTGAGGTGCCACCCTGTCCACGGACAAGGAAGCTGAGGCCTCCAGCCCAGGGCGGGCTGCCGTCACAGCAGCCGGGCCGAAGATGGACATGAAACACATGGAAATCAACAACCGAACGCATTGCCCACTGCGCATTGCGCTACGGGCCTGGAGACTCTCGACAGAAATCTCCTACAGGTCTTGAGGCTTAATGGCAGCCTTTGGTAAAAACAAAGCATGAGACTATCATGAGACAATGTCGAATCTTCGAGCAAATGTCAAGACGCATCTCTGTGAACCTTCTGACCTTCTCAGGTTGCACAGATTTGCATGACCGGAATGCAGCTAGCGGGATCGTGACGCGCCTGAAGGCCGCGTAATTCGCGACCGAATCCGCAGCCTCAAAACCGCCACCGGACTCCAGGCCCTGTTCTGTTGCTTGTGAAGGCCTATCATATATAATTATAGTATAATTATATAATATAATTATCCTATATCATCAGACATCATCCAACACTTTCCTTCAGCAGACAATTCCACTCATTTCCCAACATGAAAGCCGCACCACTGCACAATTTTTATCAAATTTTGGTGCGAAGTCTAGGGGGCCGACTCTCAGATCAAGCCGCTTTCGCTGACCACCTGGCCAAACTCGTCAAGCATCCAAACATCATCCATCAACATCATCCAAGTGTCCGTCTCAGCCACGGATTCTACAAAGGACATGTACCCAGTCTCCACTGGTGCACGTCCAGTCCATGGCCTGGTACCCTTGCAGTGGCCTCGTTGAAAGAAACACCTGGTGCTGCCCAAGGCTTGCGATAGAAAACTAAAATCAAATGACCCACCAGTTACTGCTACTGTAAACATCTGCAAACTGTAGAAATGAAAGCTTCACCATCTTTCTCCGGATGGTCTAAGGACCACCTATCATTGCAAGGGCACTTATTGTTCATTCTCAAAGCATACCCCAAAGTCAACCCGAGAGGTGCACGTTGAGGAAAGTGAGAGAAACACATTCAGCGATTTTGCATCACAAGAAGAAGCACGAGTTTCATAATCACGTCTGCCGAGAATGGCGGACAATTTCACTGCAACAAGTAATGAGATAATAAATCACAAATCATTCGTCCTCGAACAAATTTGTGGCTGATAATTTGAATCGCTGTCACTCCACCAGAAATTCCATGACGTTTCAACCGTGGTTCTACAACTGATCAGCTGACATGGGTCATGGGTTCTAGACATCCAAAATCCTTTGGCAGGAAAGAACCCCTGCTGCAATTCCATAGTTTCACGCAATGGTTGTTTCATTTCGATTCATTTCCCAAAATATAACAATCCAAATGTATCCAAATGTGAGATCAGTCACTCCTCTATAAGGTGGGCCAGGTGCAGTACTTCTCTCCCCATACTTCGTTTGGTGATTGGGTGAAAGGATGAATCCATCTGCCACAGCCTTCCCTGCCTGGATCTCGACACAACGCCACCAGAAATTCCGGCAGAGCCATGGATTGCAAAAATGCCCTCAGCCATCAGCTTTTTGAGCCAGCCCTGCCCTCCTGAAATCTTCGCCATAGGGAAGTTGTTCGCGAAAGGACTCAGGTATCAGATCGTACCAGATGGATCCAGATGGTATCAAAAGTATCTTAAAGATTGCCCAATGAAGTGGTGCGATACGCCAACATCACTCGTCCATCGTTCATCTCAGGCCATGAACTCAATGGTGCAGGGAGGTTGAAGGGCTCTTTCCGCAGGTCGTAACTCTTGAACTTCCCCAGACTTGAAGGTTCCATGGCGGCATAGGCAGACGAACCACCAAAGTTGTCCAAATCTTCGTTCTCACCTGCGAAATCATTCAGAAGTACGGGTCAAACCGTCCCATGAACATCCATGATAATCCATTGTCAATTCTCATCATGAAAATCAAGTCATGATCGTGCTTCCAGTTAAACATTACTTCCCTGGCTGAAAGCAGAGCTTAATCATGTCGAGCTCAGTCCCTTTTCGGGAGTCCATCTCTTGGAAACGTTGAAGAACTCCAACCAGAAGTAGAGATACAAAAGCAATGCGAAAAGCTGCCAAGATACTGTCTGGCCAAGAAGAAAGCACCACCAAATCCACGGCAGAACGTAAGTTTCGGAGCAAATTCAAAGCCTTAGTCGTGCATTCAAAGATACCCTCTCATTCAAATGCGGGCCATCCTACCCTGAGGTAATCAAACATGGCAATGGGAAATCCCCTATCAATGGAAGTTTATAGCTGGGAAAATCATCTGTAAACAGAGGATTTTCCAGCCAGCCATGTTTGGTTACACCGGCGGGTATTCAATGTGAAACCGAGCAAGCCATCAATCTCCTCAAGAATCTGAGCTTGAAGCATCTCTCAAATTCAAGTGCTGAAAGACCTCGGCTGCGACCAAATCTTGAAGCCTGTCACAGTCTGCCAAAGTGAAAGGTTGGGTACAATTTGTGTGACAAGAATGATTTATATAGTGGTTTAAAATGTATAGCCAGCAGGTGTTGAGGTCTTGAAACTGACATAATGAATTGGCAGCATGGCAGGGCTGATCAATTTTTGATGCTATTGCTAGCATTCCTTTGCCTTTCTGCTGCATTTGCCAAGGCACATATCGGACCAAAGCCACTTGATATCCTTTGGGAAGCTCATCTTGGACGCCATCCAAAACATCAAACTCCAACTTTGGAGCGAAACTGTTCTTGTGCACTTCTTTCAAGTGCTTGATGGGTTGCCATGCAATATCCACACCCAGGTAGCGGAAACTCTCAGGTAATCTGCCATCTCCAACGCCCTTCTGCAGTGCAGCAGGGATCCACTCGCCCCAGCCGCAGCCAATATCAATCATCGATTCGACTTGACCTGCAGCTCTTAGTGATAAACATGGCTCCTGTTACCATTGCTATAGATAGTCAGAGCATTTCGCCAACCATCCCGAAACTGCAAACCACCAGCCAGCTATAGCTCAAGAATGGGCTACCAAAAATGCAAAAAAATTAGCTCAAAATGTCTGTTTTCCCGAAGGAAATGGTGAAATACACTGCAATGACCAGCAATTTCTCGATCTTTTGAATGCTAATTTTAGGGAGTCATCCGAATTCTCCGGGTTGTCTTGGCTGCTTCCATTCCAAAACATGAGATGCCCCGACCGAAACAACTCTTAACCCGTCCCAAATTCTCCACAACTCTCTATTCATGTCAGGGAGTATCAACATATCATAAAATCTAACGATTGTCTGATGATGTCTGACGATTCCACCACAAATCCCATATTGACACATGATACATGTTTTTGGATGCCAAAATCCACCACTTTTTTAGCGTTTCACCTCCCACCTGGTGCTGTTTGGAGAAACTGCAGCAGGTGATTCGCCAGTGGCACCGTGATTTCTGCACTGGAGCCGCCACCCGAGAGCTTCCGGCCCCAGTGCCCCGCCGCGTGGATTTCTTCGAAGGCCAAACGGCGAAAGCTGGGCAAGGCGCGCAAGCGATCCTGGGAGGCTGGGAGGTTTTGGAGATGTTGGGAGGTTTTATGGAAGATTTGGTCTGGAATATCTTGGGATTATCTTCATTAAATAGGATTAACACATGGCTTAGTATGGATTGGTGATACCATTGAATTTGGACTGTTGGATAATTCGTGATAACATATATTGATAATGAACTTCTTGGATGGTGAAGAATGCCAAGAACCAAACCAACAACCAACAACCAGACCAAACTCATCCAATTCCCAAAAATCCAAACATATAATATCTATATCATGACCAAAATCATCCATTAACTCCCAAAAGAACCCAAAAAAATCCTTCAAAAGCTCCTCCTGAATTCCAAAAAAAACCATAAATCCATCGAAACATATCTAAACTAACCCATACCCATAGGATCCATGTATGGTATATATGCTAACATTGGGGGTATATTGATGTATATTGATGGTAAATGTTATCATATATAGCATACATGGATCCTATGTCAATCACCATTTTTTTCCAGGGCACATGCAGGTCTTCAAAGTTCGCCTTCACCAACGCCAAGCGGTTCTGCAAGGCGTTGCCACGGCGTTTGACGCGATCCGCCCAGGTTGACACCGCCAGCAGCCCCGACTCGAAGACCCACTGGGCTTTGAGGCAGTTCCGCACCAGGCCCAGCAAGCCGGGCCTGGCCAAGCGCCACTGGAACTTATATAGGAACTGGTGGAATTCAACATATATTTCCCAAGATTGAAAAGATAGAAAGTCAGATAGAAACCATGTCCTTAAAAAAACCAACTTTCATCAGGTGTTGTTCTTCTTCTTTGGCTCATCTCAAAAAAATTGGGCCTTTTGCAGCTCCATTGGTTGGTATTGGTTGATAGATCTCCCATCAGCAGGGCGGCCCCGGCCTTTCCAAGTGCCGAAGATCGGTGGAGTGGAGACCCTCACTGGGGCCATATTGATTCGCAACGGACTCCGCTAGGAGGTCATGCTCCTCACGACAAACGAAATCGTGAAGGTAAACTAAGCAGGTGAAGGTGGAGCCAGTTGTGAAATGTGAAATGTTGTGAATGGAACTCAGGATTGGGTTGAAATCAGCATCTACTTCATCTACTTCTGAATGATCTGATACTGAACAACTCGAAATCTTTGGTGTTTGAATGTCTTTGACATGCTCGATGCAGCTCCAAGAGTCTTTTTCAAGATTGATCTCCTCTTCATCTGCAATCTCAGCCGAGATAACACTTTCAGCTGTGGCCGGGATATGAAACTGAAACTCAAGAGGCCTTTCAAATGCACTTATTGGAACAAGCAACGCAAACAGATTTACCAACGGAAGGCTTTCAGCTCCCAAGAGTGAATGATGTGAATGCCTCCATCTGTTATTTGGATCGATACACCAATACAGCGAATCGCTCGAAGTTGTGCTTCCAAGCGGCAGCCTTCAAAATTTCTTGCAGTTCCATGGACTTTTCTTTCTTTGAAGGTTCAATGAGACAAATTTCTGCACTTCGATGTAGCAGCTGACTCAAAACTTCAACACCTCAGTCAGTGGCAAAATTAGAAAGACTTCCAGCATCTTCCAGCATGGTTACCGCAATGCCAAAGGTGACTCCCCTTTTGTTGAAGCAGGCGAGTCAACCTTGTTGCTTGATAAGTCCATAACGATTCTCCTGCCATGGCACGGCTGATGTTTGGTGCTGCAGCAAATTGCCTCCCAGCTGATGTTTGGTGCTGGAAATTTGCAAAAACGTGGTCCACTTGTAAGGAATTCGTCACACAAGGTCATCAAAAACCATCTCCAAAAGATTACCAAATGCCTATACCACACACCTGCGTAGTTGCAACATGAAGATTTGGATTTGTCTGTTGTGTCGTCAGCATTTTCGGCAGTGCACGTATTTTCCAGAAAATAACAAAGCAGAATCCATGCATCTCGACACATTGATCCTACTGTGGATGGAAGAAAAATCCTGCACCACCAAAAGGATGGTAGAAAACCTTTAAATAATGGGGTAAATCAATGTAAATCACTTCTCAACTGGTGCAGGATTTCGCAACCATCCACAGTAGCAAACCATCGGCCATCGTGAAGAGTCCCATTAGAAATGTTCATCGGTCCACAGACCTAAAGGAGTCCACAAAAATCCCATCTTCTGGCGTTTTTCGAGCTGCAATAAATAGCAACCATTCAAGAAACATAAGGTAAAACATGGTAAAAACAACAACAATAGCATAGAATAGCACTGAGATTGAACTGGGCCTGAGTCTCAGCGCACTATACTTGAGATTACTTGAGTATCTATGGCAAATTGGGACCCAAACTTTATGATGTTTACCCATTTCCTCTACCAGCAACTCACCTAAGGCATAAGGTAATGATACTTGTACCAAGAAAGAAACCTTGTTTTCCATCTATCACAAGTAAGTGACAAAAAAACTGGAAAAACTCTGATAGTCATGACTTAATATGACTTAAATCATGACTGCAAAAAACATAGTCACTCCAACTCCAGGGCTTTAGCCACCCAAATTATCTACATCACCAGTCCCCTGCGCCTGCGGCGCATCTTCTTCAAGAGACGTTGGGGTTGACCCCCAACCAACCAATTCAGCAACCAGCCTCCGGAAAATCCATGGTGGAACAAATGCCATCTGACCGTCGGCAAAAAATAACCTTACTTTGTTGGATAATGTTGGAACATATTGGATGATAATCATTGGATAATATTGGATGATATTTTTTGGATGATATTAATATTGGATAATCATTGGATAATATCCTTCGGATGATCATATTGGATGATATTGCCTGTCAGCTGCAAGTCACTGACAACTGAGAAATCGGTGTAGACAAACATGGAGACTGTCCTCCAAAAAGCAATCCCATTGCAGCAGTTAGTAAGGAGTTGGACGTTTGCGTCTACTGAGGGAAGAACATGTCACCTTCATTGCATCATGGATAGTTGAGAATGTATCTCAAAAGTCATGGGCTTCTAATGGCTTCTCCATGCACGTTAAGCATACATTTTGGGAGATCTTTTCAAGGTCAAGTTCCAAGAACTTCCAATGTCTCCAAATGTACCACGATCAAACACATTACCTAACACGTTGTGCATCTTTCCAGCTGCTTTGGGGATCCTTGATCATGGGTTTTCAGCCCCTTTTTAAACCAACCTATGACTGACCATTCTCATCCATTTCCCAGTGTCTGGGATGTTTCCTGAAATTGGGGTAGCCCCAGTTTCCATGGTTTCCCTTAATAAGTAAGAGAATTCGGAAGATTTTGGAGCCCAAACCATTCTTTTCGAAACCCCAAAACCATTGCATGAATCATTGCATCACGATCTCCACCCCCAGCTGAAGCCACCTGAGAGACGTTCAAAGCCGGTCGCCAGCACTTTGCAGGGATTCGGACCGTTCACCTCCCAGAGCTGCTTGGTCCCTGCGCACCAATCCAGCTCCACTTTCTGGGACAAATCACTGGCCTGGCGACTGAGATCCAGGGAAGGAGACCACAAAAATGGTGCCGTTAAGCAAAACAAGAAGCATCATGGGCAACGTTCAGTACTTCGGAAGACAACTGACCAATTTTTGATGGGATCTTGAAATTTCAGTACCATTCACCAGGGTTTTACCCAGTTTCACCACGGTTTCAACACGAACAACACGAACTCGGTTTCCGAACTGATTGGTTGAGGGATTCATTTTCATCCTCCAATTCATTTCACAAACTCTCTCTAGACCATGGCAGTCAGAGAATCCTAGTTTGCAACATATGGTAACCATCATTTCTGTTCATCACAACATGTCCTTGTTGCTTCAATAACTTCATTAATTTATGTTTTCTGGTTTCATTCCCTATTCAAATCACTACCCTCTGGTTATTTAACATAGCCATGGAAAATGGCCCATAGAAATAGGTGGTTTACCTAACTGAAAAATTGGTGGATTTTCCATGGCTATGTTAGTCATAACCAGAGGGTATCATTCCATGTTGAGCTCCAGCCTCCAGGATTTTCATCATCTCCTGACTTTGCAGCAGCAAGGCGCCAAGTTTCTCACCGAAGGCACCCTTGGGGTCGAAATCTTCACCTGGCGACTTCGGAAATCAGGGGAATCTGTAGGGCGTGGAAACCCTGGAGAATTTGGATCCACAAAAATCAAAAAATCTACTGCTGATCTAATATCATACATATATTACTGCTTGGTGGTTGAGCCCTACCCCTCTGAAAAATGATGGAGTTCGTCAGTTGGGATGATGGCATTCCAAATATATGGAAAAATAAAACATGTTCCAAAGCACCAACCAGATAATACCATATTCATCCATATTCCTAGGACTTGTGAAGCTTCAACTGCTGCACATAATTAGACTTTAAGGACACCCAGCAACTGAGCAAAAATTCAATGAGTGTTTGCCATGGGAAACTCCCCAAAGCTGTCGAAAGTTTCAGGTTGCCCTGCAGGATCCGGGTTACCCTGAGGGCCTGCGAAAGTTGACAACCGCACGCGCAAGCCAGTTCCATCGTGCGGTCGACCAGCAGCCATGCTTTGCAAATATAGAAAGGCTCTGGCATAGATTCCGCTGCTCGGCCGCCTGGGGAATTTTGAGGCAACCAAGAAAACCAAGCTCCAAAGATTCCAAAGTCTGAGAAAAATTCAGGTGGTAGTTAGGTCACGCCCTAATCCACTGTTTGTTTGTTTGTTTGTTGGTTGGTTGGTTGGTTGGTTTGTTTGTTTGTTTGTTTGTTTGCTTTTTTTAATTGCTTTTTGCATCTACCTAGTTGGGATTCCAACAACAATCCCGCTGGGCCAGTGCCAATGGGCCAGTGCCCCACATGTCCACAACGCGACTGTCGCCTGTCTCTGGCTTCAGCCAGGGACTGGAAGAGACATTCCGAGAAATTCGGAAGACCACGGAGCAGTCCAAGCAAAACCTTCAGCTTTCAGCAGTTTGCTAGATATTGCAGTCTGTTGACTGAATGCTCAATGGGGTGGTGGTGGTGATGGTGATGGTGATGGTGATGATGGTGATTCTGATGCTGATGATGATGATGATGATGATGACGATGACGATGATGATGATGATGGTGATGATGATGGTGATGATGATGATGATGGTGATGGTGATGGTGAACCTCTCATCCATGATACTATCAGTGAATGCAACATAAGTGCCCGTCAACTTGTAATTGATTGTCGAGTAATCCCTTCTTTGTTATGGAGGAAACCTCAAGCACATGATCATCAAATTTCACCAAGAGACGCTCGCTTGCTTCAGAACCTGCGTTGCAACGCAGCAGGGCCAGTCGAACTTCAAACATTCACAACGCGCAAATCCAACTGAGAAGACTTATCTGAGATTCCAGCAATTTCCAGATTCACTGCAAAGTGATGAGCTTGGCCATCCATTTCTCGTTGAAGGTAATTCAAATTGGTCTTCATGTCTTCGAAGTCGTTGGAAAAAGTGTTGTACAAATGCTGGACCATGTTCAACACCACTCCTGCGGAAACTCGCTCCCCTACGGCAGTTGACCATCGAGAAGGGTCTTCTTGGAATCATCTTTGGGATCTTTGAACCAGATCCTAAGGGCATTTTTTTTAAATACCCTCTGGTTATTTAACATAGCCATGGAAAATGGCCCATAGAAATAGATGGTTTACCTATTACAAATGGTGATTTTCTATGGCTATGTTACTATGTTAGTCATAACCAGATGGTACATCCAGTTTTTTCTGGAGGTTGTACCCAAGAGAAATGATGTACGACCCAAAATAGTTGAAAAAGTTGCTCTCAAAAAGTATCACTTTCTGCATTTGTATATTTTTTTTGAGCGTATTATTTAGGGTCCATTCGTTTCGGATATGATTTCTGCTTGGAATCCTCAATCCCACTCATTTGGATTCAGTCTCCAAAGAAATCCGGGCTACCCCAAGTTATCCTCTCCCAAAAATGTTGGGTGCAGGTATGTACCCGGCCTGGTAAACGTTTACAAAAAACTATGGAACATCACCATTTTTAATGGGTAAATCAACTATAAATGGGCCATTTTCAATAGCAAACTGTTAGTTTACCAGAGGGTATTCCAGTTCTCTAGTCCTATGTCTTGCAGGGACTGCGGCGCAATGGCTTGTTGCAACAGTGCTTGCCCATCCGGCCAGCGGCTAAGGTTCACTTGCAGCCTGTGGCAGATTGACCCATGGTCAAATTACATGGGAATTCATGGGAATTCATGGGTTATGGTCATCCCATCCATGGGATTCCCATGAGTTGGAGGTTGGGGGGGGATGGTCGTAACTCACGGCGTCGGCACAGTGAAGAAACAGCATGCAAGACAACGGCAAGCGAACCTTGGTTCAGTAATACACGAGTTGTTTGGGAGTTTTTGGGGGTAAAAAAACTAAAGGTTACATTTTTTTGGGGGGGGCCATCGTGGTGGCTGGAATATCCATTGGTTTGCCAGAAAACAGGGTAGATACAAAGGATAATCAGATTTTCTCCTTGAAATTCCAATCTTGCGGTACGCTCCATTAAAATGAACAATCCCAAATTCCAAACGCCTCCACCACCCATATTTGAAACCCCATCATCTCCCTCTGCCTAAGTTCTGGAATTGATGCAGCAGCCCACACCTGCCAACAAGTGATGTTTCAATCGGGTATTCTACAGCAAACAAATGTGGCAAATGTCTGGTTGGTGGTTTCAGCCCCTCTGAAAAATAATAGTCAATTGAATTATTATTCCCAATATATGGAAAAATAAAAATTGTTCCAAACCACCAACCAGATGTACTTCATTCTCAATCGGTACATCAACAGCATTGGAACAGGTACCAGTTCCAGAAATGCCTGCCATAGACCAAGCCCAACGTTTGGTGCTTAAGCCAACCGTGTCTATGATGTTAACTACCAGTGTGGGTAACATGATTGAACATGTTCCCATTTTTGTTGGTGATTGATACACAAACCACAAAACATTACGACCATTACGAGTTCATTAACCCATCTTTTTGAAGCAAACAAAAGCTTTCCAATACCAACTGTTCATCTGTTCAACATGTCAATCAATCGAATCATACGTGTGATGATTTCACCATTAAAAACAATTTCACAATCATGTTCCCTGTTTTTTTCAGGGGCATCATTATCATCATTTTGGATGCAATTTTCGATGAACATGGTGGTGACTTACATGAATATGGCTCAAGATGATGATTTATTTAATCAAATCCCATGTGTTGATTGGCTAAATCAGCACACGACCCATGGTTTCATCATTATTGATCAAAATTCATCACCATGAACTCCTCAGAAAATCACCCATCAAATCATTAAAATCCAACAATGTCATCATCCTAACACATGTCCCTTCAAAAACGTCAAAAACGATCAACATCAAATGAAAATCATGAGAATCACATCAACATACTACAATCACTAGCTCGAGCCACTTGAGCAGTGTTCAAAATCCCAATATACTGGTGAGTTAATAATCAATATCATTGGTAATTAGATTTGGTAGTATAATTCCCCAAACTAATCATCAACCAACAGGGGTTGAACGCAGAAAAACTGCTCACTTTGTCACCATTTTCCCTGGCCTTGTCCTGCGCCTGTAGCAGCCGCATCCGCAACTCTGAAGTGACATCATGCAGCTGCACCTCTAAACTCTCCCGCAGGGCCGCATGAGCAGGGCCCACTGATTTATGTTCATTGGGTCATTGGGAATGATGATATGTATATGATATAATATTATATATATATATCAATATATGTTTATGATACATATTTACATGATATGTGCTGATATGTGATGATATATGTGATGATATATGTGATGATATATGTGATGATATATGTGATGATATATGTGATGATATATATGTGATATGTATGATACTGTATATTTATACGTATGTTTGATGATTTGTACATATTATAATGGTTGTTTCATAAACTCATATACATAATCATAAACCGCTAGAATTTTGCCGAAACCTATGTTTTGTGGCTCTTCGTATGAATCAAAATTGGATGATGAATAATGAATCTAAAAAGTCAACAAAATTGCTATGATCCCTTAGGCCCTGAGTTTTGACCCACACCCATGTTGGTATAGACAAATATCGAACTTACACTACGTATGGACCATAGGACCCGTTTGGTATTTAAAACTCTACTTAGTTTAAGACTTCTAACTACATGGGATAAAGTAGAGTTATGTTATGGTGGATAAAGTAGAGTAGAATCTTAAATGCTAAACTCTACAAATATAGAACTTACACTACATATCCACCATCCCAAGAGTTTGTTTTGGACTCTAGGGAAGACTTTAAGTGGTTTCAGAGGGATCCACTGTTTCAACATGTTTCAACATGTTTCAACATGTAACAAAACTGCGCCCGAATCGGGGAAATGCCCAACATCCAAGCAACTAGGGGAACAATAGTCCACAAATAACCAACAAAAAACAAATATGTCAAAGGGAAACCCCTCAAAACATCTCAAAACCATACCAGCTTTCTGATAAAACACATCCGTGTATCTTTTTTTGGTGTTTCCTTTTCGAGGATTGATGTCCCGCCTCCGCCGTGAAAAGGTACGCTTCCCAGTTCAAAAAGTGTTGCAACGGCGCTGATCTCAAGGGTTGCAGGACTTCAACCACTCCTTCTGCCGCAGTTTCCTTAGACACATCACCATGGCATCACCATGGCATGATGCGACTTCACTGCGCCAAGACTCAGGGGCGTTTAGCAAGTGACTTCCTGATCCGGCTGAATATGGCTGAATCTGCAACTGAGCTATATTCATATGACACGCAATATGACTCATATTTCCCCAAGACATTTCAAGACTCTCGTGCTGATTCTTCGGTATACCCCCCATCATAGTTGGATTGTTGTAACCACCAGGGGCACTGCCACCTGCGCAGCTCCCAGTATCCAGCCAAGTCTCACCAATCAAAGCTCCAAATATCCAACTTGCAAAAGCTTTCATCATTGCTGGAAATCTGAGAAACCGCTGGTGAAAGCACCAGAATGTTAGGCCAAAATGTTCTCCCTATGATCAAACGTGCGATGGTGCGATGTTCAACAAACTGGTGCAGAACATGCCATGTATCCAGTTTGAAGCTCGTCACCTCGTGCTGCCACAACAAAATGGCTACAGAAATCACTGCGATTTTGCAATCTTGCCAGCCAGCTATGCAGGAGGCCGAAATGGGACGACATCATGAAATTCAAGCTTTGGAAGAATTGAGTGTTCTGTTTGAGAAGCACTGAGGCAACCAATTATGCCAATTTCATCCAATTTCATCAATATGCCTACGTCCTACGTACTGTGTAATGGGACCTGACACTGGACCTGCCCGAAGCCGGCAGTCTTACAGGAATTCAACACCCTTGATGCAACAGAAAAATGAGATTTCATGAGATTTACCCTCTGGTAATTAATTTAACGTAGCTATTGGAAATGGCCATTTCTAGTTGAAATACCTATTAAAAATGGTGATGTTCCATAGTTATGTTAATTTACCTGTTAATTTACTTTTTTTTACTGCCAAAGATGCCAGTCCCCTTCCGCCTTTTTCAGACATCAAATCGATGGATCCGATGAAGGAGACCAGATCTGCAGTCGGCGTTCGCGGTTCCGTCGGCGAAAGATGAATCCTCCGTGACGCTTGGAGATCTGCCACACCACGCCATGTACCGCTCAAGCCCGCGCCCGTGGAGTTTGCACTTCGGAGTTCGTCAGTTGCATCCGACTAGACGTTGTCCTTGAAATCTTCTGGCCTTGATCTCCGATTTCAAGAAACGAAGATGTTCAAAGTGAATGATTTCCCACCAAGTACCACTTAGGGACGCCACAAACTCAATTTAGGCCACCCAAAAATCCATGATTTCTAGTTGAGTTGGATAGCCCCAAACATCCCAAACAACCAAGGTTCTACTGGCTCTGTCAGAAAGCCAAGCTGCATCATGTCGCACGCAAACGCCTGCAGTGGGGTCATTGGAACATATATTGGAACAAAAATAATCCCATGTTGGAGTACGATCATGTAGACTAGATGGAAATTCACTCCAGGGTGACTATGGCGTATACTATGGCATCCTTCAGCAAATTGACTGCATGGACACGTGTGGTAGAGGAGTGATCAATAGTATTAAGCGATATTATGATCACTATGAAACACCAGCAAGTAAAACATAGTAAAACCCAATAATTCAATATTCATCTTGAAGACCAGCTGGACCAACACATTCATATCACTTTTGTTTTCATTTCATATCTAGAAACTATGCCAAAATCACCGCAGAGTCGGTTAACCAACAGCCTGGGGTGTCAGCTCCAAGTCCAGCAAAGCGGAGAGGATGGCCAAACAGCCCGCCAGGGCGCAACAAGGGACACATGTCCTCAATGGTCGTAGCCAACTGGAGCCAACATTAGCCAACTGGATCCCAACTGGATAAAAGTTGGCTACGAATAGCTGGACATCTTCAAAAACTATGACTTAAACCTTCCAATCTGTAGCAACTCATTTAAAAAAAAAATCCGCAAGAATTTCAAGATTCCAAGCAGCAAAATGGATGCAATTCTGGATTTTTGTTTCCCCTTGAGTTAACTTGAGTTCAGCCAGGAAACACTGAAAAAGCCAGGGCCAGCTGCCACGTCTCAACTTGACTTTCAATGCCCAACACCAAATATATCGCCTTGGTGAACCATATTCTGCAAGCAGAGTAAACGCCGTCGACTTGAATCTAATGTGCAGATTCAATGAACATGGAGATGGAAAATGATGGAAAGCCCACTATGTGCAGATCATTTTCCTTGAAAAAACATGAGGTTTTTCATACTTGAGAGCAGGCGGAGGCGGACGAAAGGTAGTGTAGTGGGAGACGAGTGGTGTCAAAATGTTGCGCCCCTAAGATGATACACCAAAAACTTTTTTGCGCAGTCTAAGATGATTTTATCCAGAGCATGACTGCATGATACGGTGTCTTGTGCAGCGTGAAATGATGCACGAAAAGGGGGTTATTTAAAACCCCGTTTTAAAACCCCTTGCAGCAACTGTTATTGAAGCTGAAGCAAACCAATTATGCTGAACTACAGGGACATCTCCCTCATGGAAAGTGTGCCTCTAATGTGGGGGCCCGTGACCGCGTCACCCGTGGGAATTGAACCCATGACCATTTTCGGCCCCCCCCCCCTTATAATTGATATCCAATACATAACGGCGAGAATTCCATGAATTCCACGGGCTGGCCCCCCAATACCCCCTAAGCTCGTGCTGAAGCACGGAGAACTCAGGTAGCTGACGCTACCTTTCGTGATCATTCCATATCTATGTTGGCTGTTAGCTGGAAAGCCAACAGAAATAAGGATTTTCAACATCACAGAGTCTGGTAGTTATGACCAGTACATCGCATGACTTTTGGGTGCAAACCTATCTGAAACCTGCGAATTTTGGGATGACACCCATGTGATACCTCCTCCCTGAAGCGCGAAACGCAGCGTTTCCGGGCAGCTTCGCCCGCACCGAGACACACTGGCAAGTCCACTGGATGTGATTAGCAGGGCAAGGCCCACCAAACCGGACCAAACCCTCATGGCTCAAGGCTCTGGAGTTCAACGGTCCGACTTTTCTGCGGTGAAAAAAGGTCTGATGTGATGATGTTGTGATGCTTAGGGGATAGGCTTATGGATTTTTTTTGCAGAAAGCTGTGAAAGAAGTGAGCCGACTTGGCATGCGTGAGTCTGGGGCGGACCCATGTTTCAGACGATGTGCTCACCTCAGCAACCCCAGAGGCAGCTGATCAGACATTGACCAAAATGGACCAAATGTTGCGATGTGGTGTGATGATTTTCCCAAAATCAGGGGTCACCAAATCCACCAGAATTTGGTGATTCGGGAATCAGGCCATGGTTCTTCTCATTGGGGTCTTCAAATGTCTCCAATGTGGTTCTCAAGGACAAGTCGATGATTCAACTCAACTGCAACAGAAGTTTCGACTGTATAGCGTTCAGGAGCCTAGATATCCTAGATATCCTAAATCCCAACACGGCCTTTTTAAGACGCATTGTCAGGCTTCAACATCCATGCCGTTCGCACGCCCTTTGGTACAAACCTGGCACTTTTTCAGGGGCAGTTAACAATGGAAGACACGTTCACAACACCAACCTGCAGAAGGATGTGTCATAAGTCATAAGATGTCATAAGCCATAGGGTTTCATAGGGTTTCATAGGGTTTCATAGAGATTATGCCAGTGGATCAGCCGGGCGTTGTCGATGCAACTTGGTGCACCGAAATCGGGACATGGCAGCGGAGTCGTACTTGGTGATTATCACCTGCCTGCTGGAAGTGCTGGTGACTTCGATGCTTTCTGCCAGAGTATCTTCGAAGGTTGAGGAGAAACCGCAATCAGCAAAGTACCTGGGTCAGCTGGATCTGAACATCTTGGGGAAAACCATGGAAAACCTCAAAATCCATTGATTCATCATCATGACGAATCATCAGTTTCCCCATGAAAAAAAAATACACTAGCCATTTCCGGATCAATTTTTATTTATTTCCGGATCAATTAGCCCTAAAATGAGCTATCTCCCATCTTTGGACAAGCTCGGCAGACTGCTCAGGGCACGCTTGGAGAATCCGCTGATCATATCTTGGGGCGAAACCACCGTTGCTTCTCATCAACGAGACGGTTGCCTCAAGGCAGGCCCCAAAGAAGGGTAATGTGGGTAATTCCCAATGCCATGTGCACCATCCACCAGTCATCAGAATTTTGATAGTTAGATGTTATGAACCATTCCCAGTCATGAGTGGTAAAAATGACATTGTTTTACCCACATTGGTTTGATAATCTTATAGCAACAAATACCACATTTCCCCATCTCGATAGCTGTAAAACAGCGCATGTGCTATCCATTGGCCAAGGAACATCCAGGTTCACCGGATCGAACACGAAGGACACGAATTTCACGGCATCGCCTGTGGGAACATAAACGCAGTGATACTGTGGATGGAAGAAATCCTGCACCAGTTGATAGGTAGTTTGTTCCATTATTTATAGGGTTTTAACCATCCAAGGTGGTGCAGGATTTCTTCCATCAACAGTAGGAAACATGATGCCGTGACCTGTTTTTTCTTTTTTGCGATCATGTAACATGATGCCCAATATATCCCAATATTAAGATATACACATACACCCAACATGTTGCCATGTATGTCATCCAAAGTCAACATGTTCGAAATGAGAAATCTTGCCAGCTCTGCATTCTGAGCCTTCACAAACATCAGTTCACAAAATGTCTTAGATCTTCCCTTCGCCTGTGAAAAAGTGTCAAAACTTGCGCCTGTGGATGCAAAGTCTGTGACCTGAAAATCTTTGCAATAGCCGATGTCTTTCAGGTACTTCAGCAGTTGCCTATCACCGGAAAGTTGCAGCTTAACCATTGCTCGCACCAAATGGCCAGCCGATCATATTTGAAACTAAAATTCCACATGAACTCTGAAAGAGAAAGAATGTCATACCACGCCCAACGTTTTCATGTTTCGCCTTTTTGGAAGTGAACCCCCAAAAAGACAGAGGTGTTATCTGTAGGGATGTGGGAGGGTCTCAAACATGGGGCATGTTGCTACTCCGCAACAAAAAGGCGTTTAAGTTTAAGTTTAAGTAGTATTTTTCACTACTTGACACACCTATTCAACATCAATTAGTTCACCATGGTTCGGCGTTCATTTGTCACTCTGTTCCACTTCTTGACCGTGTTTCACCGTTTTGTTTCAGCATCTTTCAGCATGTTCGCATAGCCAATCCCAGCATCCCAGCCTGGTGCCACTACTCAGAACTGTTGGATCTGAACCTTTGGACACTGCCAACTGCGGCCAACGTCCAATGGATGGCAGGTTTGCCTCGCAAGATGAAGAATTGGCTGCAACTAGCATAGCAAATGACTGGAAGGCACCATTTTTCACGTGGTTCTTTCTCATTTTTCCGAGTGTGTCTGAACTCTCAATGGATTTGGATTCCCCAACAAAAATGATTCCCCCAATTTGGGTTGCCACATTTTCAATGAACGAAGAATCACCAGAGTTTCTGACCTCTTGTCCTTGCATGTCCACATCGCTCTTTATGTCCTGAAGACAGCAGAAAAACAAAGTTGCGGTACTTCCATCATTCTGAGGGATTTGGCCCAGTTGAGAAATTGGAACCTATACTTTCCAATGATTTCAATGTCAACTGCCGGCAACTAAATCAAATGAAACTCATCACAACTTTCGTAAGGCTGTCTCTTCTCAGGAGTTTCTGAACCACCAACACCTTCCAGTTGTCAACAAGTGATCCTCGCCACGAAGAATGCTCTGGTAAAGTCGTGAACCCACCAGTTGTGAGAAACGCTCCCTGACAGCAAGGCATTGGTTGGTTTTTTCTCATGGGTGACAAACGAAAACTGACAATTTGTGCTTGATTTCCCCTAACAAAAAAATCATTGAATCGTCTAGTGGCCTTGCTCAATCATCAGAGATCCAAACCTTCACAAAGTCAATCGAATCTTAAGATCATCCCCCCCCAAAAAAAGGGGGACAACACCTCCAAAGTATCATGGTGAATACAATACATTTTATATTCCATCACAAGAGATTCTATATAATAACAGTTATTGATAGTTAATGTTAATAGTTAATGTTAATAGTTAATGTTAATGTTAATAGTTAATGTTAATAGTTAATGTTAATGTTAATAGTTAATGTTAATAGTTAATGTTAATAGTTAATGTTAATAGTTAATGTTAATAGTTAATGTTAATAGTTAATGTTAATAGTTAATGTTAATAGTTAATAGTTAATGTTATTAATGGATTAAACAATATAACTATAATTAACTATATTAATATATAACTATTATAGTTAATTATTAATAGTAATAATAGCTACAAAAAAAAATATATAATATATTCCATGGAATAATCACAATTATTAATAGCCAATTATTATAGTATTATAATGTCAACCCTGGATTAATAAGCCCCTAGGCTGTTTAATTTCGGGGGGTACCATTTAAGTATTAGATTATGACTATTGGAGGAGTACCCCCCTAATTAATAAACCGTAGTTTATGAATCCGGGATTGACATTAACTATAACCCTCTGGTATATTAACATAGACCCTGGCAGTTATCGGGGTTGGAAGACTAGTTTCCATTAAAATTACTGATTTTCAATGATTTTCAGGGTCCAACTGTTAATTTACCAGGGGCTCATAGCCACTTATTATAGTAATATGGCAGTGTGTCAAAACCTTGTACCCTGGTGAACATCAAAATAGCTGGTAAATGGATGTTCATCCCACTAAAAATGGTATTAATAGGTATTGACCCATATCCATATAACTATATAACATGGATGCCTTTCGTTCATCCCTTCAGTGGACTGCGCCTGTCAGGGCCCCGACGGATGGCGCGAGCGATGACACGCCACTGGGCGTCGTTCAGGAAACTGAAGTAGAAACGATTCGTGACACCTGCAACGATTTCCATGGTTAATGATGGTTAATGATGGTTAATGATTGTTAATAATAATACCACCTGCAACGATTGGAGCAGAAAAACCATCAAAGAGATCGGCATGGGGATTTACTATGAGGATAGCCAATAACTAGATGGTGGTTTCACTATTGATACAAACATAGCTGGTTCGTGGTATACTTATCTACCCCTCTGAAAAATGATGGAGTTCGTCAGTTGGGATGATTATTCCCAATATATGGGAAAATACACAATTTTCCAAACCACCAACCAGATAGTAATAGTAGTACCGAGAAATAGTGATGGCTTGTTGAGTGGCTTTCAGGGAACCATCAAAAGAACAACAAAATGGTCATGTCCAGCTTTTCTCTTGAAGATACCCGTTAGAAAAAATGAAACCCCACAATTCCACCGGCTTATCTGGATACCAACAGGCTGGAAATGGCTGGAAGCAACCAGTCAAGCTGAGTCAAGCTGAGTCAAGCAGTCACACCTCCAGAGCGGCTTTCCAACAACTTGGAGGTGTTGTACAAATCCGTGAGGTCATAGTTTTCATAGCGACCTGCAGGTATGGCTCAAACATATGGATCCTAAGAATAGGAAGGTGTGACACGAAACCAACAAAGTTGGTCCCACCTTAAAACATCTTGAAACCACAACTGAAAATTGGGGCCATTGATACCAGGGGCACTTTCAACAGGGGCACTTTCTGCAGCTTGGGGAGAAATCTTTCGAATCGAGCTCCACCTCGAAAGCTTTCGAACCCATCACGGAGTTGCACCGCAAACTTCTTCTGGTAGTCCGCCATGTCGGAATAAACACCCCAGCTTTCTACGGAGTCATAGGTGGTTCGAAGCAACCTCAAGTTTGGTCAATGTGATGTTCTGATTTCACCAATCTGAAAAAAACTGTAGGATCTGACCCCTGCTGTATCCAAAGCCTGAAACTCTCTGTTTCTTTCAGTTCTAAGGAAAGCTCCACATGTTGGGCATCTGGGGGCATCTGGGGACATCTGAGAATTCTTGGGAGATTCCAAGCAAAAAAAAAAGCAACGCAAAACACAAGGCGCATAACCGCCAGCACTTGCGGCAGTTCTGGTGTCTCTTTGGTGGTGCGAAGAATGGCTTCCGCAGGTGCTGGTAGTAAGCTGACAGCGGCACTGAGAGCCCGTCGTCTTTCCAGCCGAATGCCAGGCATGGCAAACAGCTGCGGCTGCAACGCCAGCCCCAGCCATGCCAGGAAAAATGGAACTTTGGCCCTCGAAACGTGACATTCCCAAGGACGTTTCATGGCGAAAAATGCTGAATTTTTGAGCTGGAAACAACCATGAAATGGTGGTTTTATATATGCGATACTCAATGCACAGCAGATTCAGCCAGCAGAAAGCCGGCTAACTCAACCACATCAAACTGACATTCCGTTGAGTCTTGCAGCAAATTGCAAGCAGCATCCAAATCGGCATTTTTTTTGCAAACATCACATGGTCACGCAGTCTTTGCCATCCTTGGCTTTGCTGATTCCCAAGTTCTAGCGGATTTCCCATTGGGAAAATCAAAAAAAGATCTGCAAAAAGAATAAAGCGTTAGATTCCCTACAAATCCCCTTATGGATTCCCAATAAAGAATGTAAACAAAAAAAACAGCAAAAAAACAGGTATAGATTCCTAGAAATGCCTTTGATATTCCCAATAAAAGAACCTTAAATAAAAACAACATCTGCAAAATCCGAGCATCTTTGCCTTTCCTTCCGGTTCCATCCTTCTTCTTCCGCGGACTCAGCCGCGACATCCGCTCCGCCGGGCGCGGTCGTGCCGGCACTGGTGGTACCGGTGGTGGCGGTGGCGCAGGACGGGGCTTGCCTGGAAGATCTGCAGGTTTTTTGGGGGGAAACATATGGAAAACATATGGAAAACATATGGAAAAACTTGGAAGATCATAATATACATCATTATACATATATATATATATAGAAATAATATCAAAATATGGAAACATCATTCTCATTCTATATAGAAATAATAATATAATTATCAAAATATGGAAAACAAATATGGAAAGATGACTCTTTTCCAAGAATTGGTCGGATTTTGTTGGGATAGGATTGACGGCCTTCGCCTTCGTAGCCACCAGTTCCTGTTTGTTGAGCCACCAGTTGTCTTGCAGCTGCCGAGGGATTCATATCGCAATCCTGCGTGGCTTGGAAATGCCTGAAACCTACAAAGAAAAACTACAAAAAAACCTACAAATCACCTCCAATTTGGATGGTAAACATACCATTTCTCTGGGATTGTTGGGTTTACCATGGGTTTACCATGGGTTTACCATGGGTTTACCATGGGTTTACCATGGGTTTACCATGTGCATGGGAACAATATAAACACAAAAACGCAAGTGTGACAGTATCTAAAAATCGCATCATCCAAGTGGATTCACCAAAGCCTATCTCTCTATGACTCTATTCGCTCAGCAACTTACCATGAATGGATCCAAATGGTTACGAAAAACTGGCTCAAATGCGATCCAAAGTTCTCGGAATTCTCTTTTTTTTTGCCCCTTTTTTAATCCACGAATCTCAATATGTAATCCTTCCCATGTAATCCTTCCCCTGGTTTTTTCAACCAACATCTCCTGAAGCTGCGCCAAAAGCACTGAGGGTGGCAGATTCTGAAGGTCGTTCATGGCATCCAGGGCAGAGAGCGCTGTGGCGACTTCCCCCGGCTCCTGTCCGAACAGAATCAGAAGGGAGGTCCCTTCTGAATTTTTGGGGATAATTTGGATGGTTATTTTTTGGATAATTTGGATGGTTATTCTATGGTTATTCTATGGTTATTCATCATTTGGATGGTTATTTTTTGGGGAAAAACTATGGATAAATCCTCCATTTTCACAACAGAATGAAGCTGGGATGAGTCCAACAATAGTTATCCAATGTTATCCACAAGATTTTCGCTTGGCAGACCGAAAACCAGAGATTTTCAACAATCCATGGTTCATTTAAATCATTTCCCCAAAGTTCAAAATAGTAAATCGGTTACCCTCTGGTAAATTAACATAGACCCTGGCAGTCATCGGGGTTGGAAGATTAGTTTCCATTAAAACTAGGCTATGGATTCAGGGTCCAACTGTTAATTTACCAGAGGGTAATCAGTGACTCAAAATGACGGTGGACATCTGGAAACTCATCAGTTCTCACCCATTGACAGCCTCCCTCCAAGGTGAGGACCACCAGGAAAAAGTTTGTTGCTAAAAACAAAGCCATGAAAACTATAGGTATATCTACCAGAAACATCCATAAACTATAAAGAATTCACCTAGTTATAATTAGTGTATATGAATGTATATGAATGTTATAAACCAACTTGGCTATCTTTCCAACTCAAACAGTTTTTTTAAAACCAATCTATCAAACCAACGCGGGCCTCAGATTGCAGAGTTGCCACAGCTTGGCTCCGACCAGCTTGGAGCAATAGAGCAATTTCCCGTCGCACCTGGGGTGTCGGAGAACTCAAATACTGCAGACACTCATGAGTTGGCTAAAATATATATATATATCATTATATCTCATCTATATCAGTTTTTGTTGGAGTAAGAAGCCAGAATGAGTATACTCATATATATATATAATCATATATATATAATATATAATCATATATATATATATCAACATGACTTAAACAATTCAAATGATGGAGTAAACATCTCAAAGGTCTGGTGACTGGACCTGAATCAACGACAACGCATGGCTCTCCGCAAGCGTAAAGGCTACGTCAGGGTTCCAGCTTGCAGATTCCAAGGCCAACCTGCAGGGTGTGACCGAGGCCCTATAGGGTGTAGCCGCAAAAATGACCAATTGTTCATAAAACGAGGATAAACCACGATAAACCAATGGATACCAATGGATTTCAGGGTATAAACTTTCTCCAAACCAAGCGATTTCGAATCATTTTTCATCGCAGAAATGCAGCTCTGCAGCCTGGAGATCTCCTGACACTCTGCTGTCGTCAAAATGGATGCGGATTCTTTGCCTGTCCAGTCCGAATGGTCCTATAGGATCAGCAAGGAGAAGAACTTCAAACATATGCAGCTCTTGCACAATTGCCTCAAAGGGCCTCAAAGGGCCTCTAAATCCTCTAAACCAATAGCTTTCCATTAAGGAATTGGGGGCAATTTTTTTCGGATATTCATCACTTGACATCGCCCAAGATACAACCCCTAACCAGTGGCACCCCATTGTTTAGGTGCCTTTGGTGCTGGAAACTCGAGTAGCCAAGGAGGAAACCAAACTGCACACCTGATCCTGTCACGGAACTGACTTTGGCTCTACCAAGCACCACTGGCCAGATTCATCAGTGAAGAGTGCAGATTTTCTTTGATAAAAAAATCTACCCAAGCACTAAATCGACTAAGTCATATACCTTAGAGTCAATGAATTCACAGCCAGTCTTCTCTGCAACGTTTGCACCGGTGTCTGGTTTCACCACACCTCAAAGTCCTTCAGCAGCATGCACGCAGCAGCTGCTGATTCACCCCTTCTCAAGGCCTTCCACAGAGCTGATGCTGAAATAGTCCCTGAACCGCAGTTCTTTATCTGTGAAGGTCCAGAAATGCTGCATATACCAGGAGAATTACTTCAAAATAGCCAAAGAAATGAGGAAAGTGATGATCAAACCGAAGTTTTCCATGATTTTCCATCGTTTTCCATGACATTTTCCGAGAGTTCACCGATGTTCACCGATGTTCACCGCGCACCTCGGCACAGATGGCCAATGGCACACTCGGGAATTGGCGAAGGACTTGGGCCATCTGCCTCAGGATTTGACCGTTGTGGGGCATCTGAAATTCTGTGATGATTTTATCAGAGATCAATTAACATATTATATATATATCCAATGATTATGGGATGATTATTGATTATAGTTATTCTGGTTGGTGGTTGAGCCACCCCTCTGAAAAATCATGGAGTTCGTCAATGGGAAGGACTATCCCATGTATGAAATGGAAAATAACAAATGTTCCAAACCACCAACCAGATATATATATATATATTATATCCAATATAAATATAATTATTAAAATACCAGAGAATATTAGTTCTAAGATTCTACTTTACCATCAGTCATAAAATATTTCTGAACACATCTGGTGGTTTGTTCATGTTTTTTCTAGGCCCGTTTTTGGCAAAAACCACCAAGAGCTTGGTAATCTTAGTGCCCTAAGAGCCGCCACGCGCGGCCTTGCTGTACTCACTTCCCCATCAGCATGCCGCAGCAACCTCGCGGCGAAGGCCTGCCAGATGGTTCATGTGGCGATCCTCACATCGAAATAGCTGGGCTTTGTGGATGTTCATCCCCTTCAGAGAGTGATATTATAGCAGGTTTTTAATCATTTTAATATCAAAATTTATCCATCTCCATTTTAGAGTGATTCTGAAACCAAAGGCTAATGACATACCACTTACCCAGATGCTCTATGTATATTTACCTACAAAACTGGCTCATTTATGGGGTAAATGTTGCTAAATATTCAATATTCCATGGAGCATATGGGTTATACATCTTATAATATCTAGCATCATTTGATGCCGAAAACAACTTATTTATAAACATTTATAACAAAACTGTTGATAATTTTATCCATCTGGCATCATTGTGTTGTTTTATCATATGGTTATCTGGCATCATCAACACAACTTCAAGTCAGCAAAATGGATCGATTCGGATCCGCTGGATTGGTTTCCAGCCTCATCGATCGAAAACTGGTCCCTCTGCTGGTCCTGGTCGACCTGGTCCTTGTTGATTTCATGGATCAATTGGATGATCAGCAGCGCCCTGCAGTCTGACGGAATGGAGACGGAATGGAGCTGGATGATATAATGTATATATATAATATACATATATAAATGTATATACTGTATATATACATATATAGAAATTATATAGGAATTATATAGAACTATAGGATAAGTGATAGATGAGATTTCACGGGGGCTTAAATACCCTGGATTCAATGTATTTCAACGGAAGTGAACTGCCGGTGACTTTGTCAAATCTCCACTGATCAGCCATGGAAAATGGCCTATTTATAGATGGTGAACAACTGGGTTTACCTATTAAAAATGGTGATTTTCTATGGCTATGTTAGTCATAACCAGATGGTAATTCCCAATGCCAGTGCACCATCCCCCAGTCATCACCAGTTTTATAGATGGTATAAACCATTCCCAGTCATGGGTGGTAAAAATGACATTGAATTACCATGAATTACCCACATTAAACCCAGTTTCCAGCAGTGGTTCATATCTTCAACTTCTTCAACCCATCCACAAATCCCAGTGAGAACACCGAGGTCCCAACTGATGAACAGAACTGCTCTCTTTCAATGCAGCTGCTGCCGCAGATAGCGAGATATCACCACCAACTGCCACCTGTGCCCTTTCTTGCAGCAGCAGCAGTTCTGCTGAGCGGCGACTGTCCCAGTCCGTCCTGAGATCTGCTTAAGATGTTCTGAAAAATGAGATGCGGAAGAAATTTTGGAAAGACCGGTCAATGTGGTTCCTGAACTTTGGTAGTTCCGTGTCTTTTCTCAGTCCTACCGTACCTCTCTCTTAAGTGAGGTGCAAGGAGAGCGCTGCGTAGGCTGAAACCGCTGCTAAGCTGGGCCTTTGCGATCGCACTAAAAGTTTTGCGACCGCACATGGCACTAATGAAATCGGCGGAAAGAACAAATACTACCCCACCTGAAACAAGTGAAACAAGACCTCAAGTGGCAAAATCAACGTGTGCAAAGCCAGAGCTTCCCACTTTGTTTGCCATGGTTCCGGTCCATGCATGTCCATGGTGGGTGCAGCTTGGAGAAATTCTACTGATTTCCTTTGGAGCCAATTTTGATGTCATCTGATGTCTCTGGGTATCAGGCTCTTCCGAGGAAGCCTGCAACGGCTGAGCCGTGAATAGAAAAGCGTCGACCCAGTGGACCCACCAGCTGATCAGCTGATCTTCCTGAAAAAAAGGTGGAAATCATTCACCACCATCTTTGTTTCCAAGAGTCACATCAATGATAGCAGATACTCTAAATGATCTGGCTTCAAACTTTAGTCTTTCTGCCAACAAAAAACTGGTTTCACTGGTTTCAGCCAACCCAAATTATCGATCCACGAAAATGCACAGAATGCCTTGGCATGGTTCAGCAAGCGTTGCGATTGATGTTGAACTGCTTCAGCAAAGTTCCACTCCGTGGCTTCTAGCGAGGCTCGAGCCTAGCGGAGAAAAAACATGAAGACATCCCTAAATTTGGACCTGGTCACTTGTCTCAGAAAAAAAAAACTCTCTAGAATTTGGGCACCCCAAACAATAATTGTAATATCAAAGAATCTACGGAAAAGCTACACTGCGACACTTTTTGCAACCTCCTCAAGCTGCGGTTTTTGTGGTGCCGAACCTCTTCTTCGCTGACCACCAACTGAAGGACTTGCAGCTCATGACCGACGTGCCTGACGCTAGCGTGGGCCGCTAGGGCCGCTAGGGCCGCTAGGACTTGGCACTAGGGATCAAGGATGATTTGGGTATCATGAGTAATGTGGGTAAAACATGAAATCATTATAAACCCATGACCAATTCCCATGGTTGTTGGTTAAATCCCATTAATGTGGGTAAAACAATGTTATTTTTACCACCCATGACTGGGAATGGTAATGGTTTATAGTTATTTAACATAGCCATGGAAAATCACCATTTTTAATAGGTAAACCCAGGTAAATAAACCATCTATAAATGGGCCATTTTCCATGGCTATGTTAAATAAGCAGAGGGTCCCCACATTATCATATTATATACCACCGGATACTAGGAGATGTCACATCTACCGTTGGACTTGTCACGACTTCGACGGGTGTGTCCCGAATTCACAGCTCTCAACGACGCCGGGTTTCTCGAAGCCAGAGTCTGACACCAATCATCTGACCAAAGTATACCCTCTGGTAAACATACAAAAAACTGTGGAAAATCACCATGTTTAATGGGTAAATCAACTATTTCGACTGGGCCATTTTCAATCGCTACGTTAAATTACCAAAGTATAACTTTCACCATATTCCGTGAGGTCTTTGTGGTTCATATCCATCTATCCTGTTGGGTATATGTTCCCTCATTTTATCAGCATTTTCACCCGACCATTACCCATTTACAGTGTGTAAACCATGACACACCCAATAATCAACATGAATGGTATTGAAACCCATACCCCAACACCCCAAAAAGGTGGCAATTCCTTTCATGGGTGTGTCTGAAATGCAGTATACCCCCAAAATTGTTATTTCAATGGTGGAAAATGATGATTAACCATGATTAACCAAGAAATTTGAGGGTTTTGCGCAACATTTTCAGACCAACCCACATGAGCAATGCCCGAACCATTGGATCAGCCATGGCTGGCACCTGGAGGCTTCCAGCAAGCGCCTCGCAGCCAGCGCCACGTTCCAACGGCATGCATCCAGCTCGGTTTCTGCGTGGACTTCGCTCAAGGGAGAACTGGCAGAAGCGCTGGGAGATGGAGATTTCAGCACATCAAAATTTGGGGATTGTAAAATGGAAATTCTAACTTCAGTAACTCAGTTATAAGTTAAACTATAATATACTATAATATACAGTAAGTATAATATATACTATAATACTAACAAATATACTATAATATACTATAAGACTAAGTTGGGCTTTGAATTGAATGAGAGATTCGTCATCCACCGTGGCGAAACTTTGAATTTCGATGGTACAATCCTCAGGCATATAAATAATCACTATAGGGCATGTTTGTCATCGTGCGGTCATAGCCACCAAAAAAAAACTGATGAGTTTCAGCTGTAGAATCTAAAGCTGATGAATCAGAATATCTCAGAATTACTTACTTCAGATGTCTCTCAGATTGTTTTGCCGAGTTCACTTTCTTTAATAACTCAGACTCCAAAGGTTGGCTTCGGCAGGTCGCCTGTCATCCTCTGTGGTAGCCTGGTCGAGCCAGCAAACTCAACAACAATTGATCCACCGGTTTCTGCGATAACTATATGATGGTATTATTGTTATTGTTACCCATATGCTCTATGCTCCATGTATGGAAATTATGGAATATTTACCAACATTTACCCCATAAACGAGCCAGTTTTGTAGGTAAATATATTATACATGGAGCATCTGGGTTATTATATGATATGGTTCCATGTTTTTTGGATATCCCATGATATCCCACATTTCTTATAGATTTTGTTGGTCAGCTACAGTGAGTTTCTGTTTTCTACACCTCAGTTTATCTCAGCTTTTTCAACTCAGCCGGCCTGGGTCATGCCTCTGGAAACCGCAGCCTGGAGGCTCTCGATTGCTGCATGTCTGTCCACCACAGGATACCACCGCAACAGCCAGGATCTGAAGAACTCGCCGTTCCTCGAAACAAAGCACTGATCAAAAAAAAAAACACACATAGGGCAGTGTGTCAAAACCTTATACCCCTGTAGTTCACATCAAAATAGCTGGTAAATGGATGTTCATCCCCCTAAAAATGGTATTAATAGGTATTGATCCATACCCATATTGTTCCTAGTAGGGCCTAGAATTGGAAGCTTTTGTGAGATTGGTATGTTGATGTATGTTGTTTTTGCACACGAAGAAGCAATGAAAAAGCACCTGTACCCTTCGCCATTGTTCCAGTCACCAGAATGACTCTCCGGAGAGTTACCCTCTGGTGATGTACCAACAGTTTGCGAACTGGAAGCCATGGCCCATAGATAGAAATAGATGGTTTACCTGGGTTTACGTAACTTAAAAAATGGGTGGATTTTCCATATAGTTTTTTGTATGTTTACCAGAGGGTAAGTTGTTTTAACCCTCAAAGATTACCCTCTGGTAATTTAGCATAGCTATGGAAAATCACCATGATGAATGGGAAAATCCACTATAAATGGTCATTTTCAATAGCTATTTTCACATAACCAGAGGGTACTGGAAAATCAGCCATTTTTAGTGACCCTGTTCCCTGACCACCGAGCATCTGATCATGGAGACTGATGACATCCTCAGTCGTCAAGAGGCGATTCCTGGGAGAGTCATCTCGATCCAAAGAGTCCAAAATCATCCAGGACTCGCTGGTCTCGGTCTCAGATGGCTCAGATGGCCAGTAGAGGATGGAATAGTAATGCATCGCTCCTGAGGAGGAAAAAAAACTGGAGGAAAAAACCTGGAGGAAAAAATCCTGCTTTGATGATGACTTGATGTAATTAATTATTGTTTTTTTGGCTGGGCTTGTTGAATTTAAGTTGAGCTGGAAAGTCAATCTGAAAAAGAGCTGCAGATATTCAAATATTCAAAATCCAGAAAAAACCGAGTCTTTCAAACGTCTCACTGGGCCCCTTAGACATACAACGACGCCACGATTTTTTTCGTCCAAGCAACTTCCAGGGATGCGCTCATGGACCAAAAAGCCACGAAACCATCGCTCTTTCAGATCTTTCGCAGCTGACAAGTAGGAAGACACCTGGCGAATTTTTCATCCGACCCAAGAAATGAGGCTTTTCATGGCGATACCCAGCCAAAACAAATACTGAAAAGAGCTACTATTTTTATCTATTTTTCCAATGTGTGGTAACAAAAATAAACCGACTTACATAACCCACCGGTCAATCCAGTTTCATTGAAAAAAGTTGATGATGAGAATTGTGGAGGCTTCCATGCGTATCTTTGCTGCCATGCCGCACCTCTGACTCCTGCCACAAGGGTTTGGGCTCCACATCAATGACCTGCGTGGCAACATCTGAACAGCTGCAAATGGCTGATACCGTCCAACATGGCGTGGTTGAGTAGCGCCACAATATGGACCTCTGGACAAACATCAAGACGCATGACACACATCCAAAAGAAGGATTTCTCGTGATTTCTCGTGATGTTGAAGAAAACTCATCTTGGGTCTTTGTTTTGAAGCTTTTGAACCGTGATCAGCGATGTTTTTTTGTTCGCAAGTCCCATCCTCATATCCATTTGATCTGGCTGCCAACTTCACCGCTTCCACGTCGAACATCCCAGTGCGCTGCCTGGAGCGAAGTGATTTTTGTTGGTCCGGAAGTTTCTTCACGTGCTTCATCTAAGACTGCCCTAAAAAATAACCCAAGTGTTTACAAAGTGAAAGCTTGCAAACTATGTTTTGCATGTATAATCTTGGTACTCTACAACCCAAACTGATGAGCAAATATGTTTGGCTTTCCATAAATGGGGGTACCCCAATGGTTAGATAGCTAAAGAAAGGGAAAATCCATGAAAATCCATCAATGGATGAGAACTGGGGGTACCCCCATGACTATGGAAATCCTCGACTTTTATAGCTCCACGGTGATCTGCGCCGAGTTGCTCCGCTCCCTTCCAGCTGAGACCACTATCTGCACGTAGAAGTGACAGCTGCGTCACCTTGGGCGGGACGAAGCCCCGACACGCCATTTCCTGACGCGGCTGGCTGGCATGATGATCGGCAGATACTCTGGCGGTTTACCTACCTTCAAAATGGGGGAAAGTTTTGGGTATACCGGGAAAAAACAAATTGGCCATTTTGGAATTTTGGAAAAGCCACATATGATAACCATTGATAAACCTTAAAGGGTGTTCCCAAGATTTTCAGACAAAGCCATGGATCCATGAAAAAAATCCCTGGAGCTTGACGAAGCCATCAAAGCCACTGGGAGGTGGTGACCAACAGGTTACAACAAACACTTACCCGGTTACCCCTCATCAACCACCCATTGGGCACATTGGCCACGAGGTCTCGTGGGCTTGGAAATTGCTTCACTGATGCATCTTCAAGGTCGACATATGGTCGACGTGAAGTATCGAGTTGGATATCATTCCATCAAAGAATCACATTCCATCAGAAAGCCAATAAAAATAATAAAAAGCCCCCCCAAAAAAAGGATTTATCGGATAACTCATCATGACATCCTGCCTGGATCTTTGAACAACAAATGGCAGTGTGTCAAAACCTTGTACCCCTGGTGAACATCAAAATAGCTGGTAAATGGATGTTCATCCCCCTAAAAATGGTATTAATAGGCATTGATCCATACCCAAATAAATGCTGAATTCTTCATCGTTGTAGTGAAACTTCCACAGCCACGTCACCTCTTCCCGCGACTCGCTTTCAGCCGCACGAAGGGTAGCCATGGAAAAAGGACCCACCACTCCAGTGGTTGAAACCCACGACTCCTGAAGTACACATCAGTTCCCTCCATGGACATCTAGGATATCATCTAGGATATCATAGGATATTCTAGCTATGCAAGGTATGTATACACATTCATGGGGATATTTTCAAAACCATTCAAATGGCTCTTGAAGCAACAGGTCTGTTGGAATTGCAGTGACAAGAGACGGAACGTGAACCACCAGAAATCATGGGATTTGGAGATGATCTAGGTCATGATCAGTGATCCATAGTGATCCCCAGCAGACTAAATACACTAAATAGACCATTGAAACATCCATTTTTTCATATCCCACCAATGACTGTAAGCCATGCCAGTCGAAATTCCAGTCTCCTTCTCCTCATTTTGTTCATCCTGGCACTGAAAAGGATAATCTGTTGGTCAACTGCCTCAGGAACTTGAAAACCACTGGAGTACAGGTTGCATGCGATTGGTGTACAGGAGTAACATGGAGTAACCAATCGCAGTCACAGTTTGAACTCCTCAACTCTCCGATTATCCTCAACTTGTCCATGACATTTGCGAACATGCGCACATGTGTCTTTCTTTCACCTCTGGTTTGCACATAGTTTCCCCATGTTCCCCTCATGAATTCTTTGATCCCCCCAGGGGGTTGTTCTCCCGCCTTGGCAGCCGCCTGCAAAGCCTCTTGCAACTTGGCAGCGGCTTCTTCTGAGCTCCGCTTTGGCTGCAGCAAGTTGTTGAGACCTGCGATCAGAAGGTCAGCCCCTGGATATTATATATATATATATATAATTAATATGATATATATATATATAATTAATATGATATATATAATTAATATGATATATATATATCTTTAAAAATTATATATATATTATATATAAGGAGCATACAATGGGATAATAGTGGGACAATAGTGGGACAATGAAAGACCATGGTTTACTTGGTTTGGATCATCCTACTTCACTTGGAACTGGGTGAGTCAGCCCACCAGCTACACATGTTTCGAGCCAAGGGATGGTCCTCCCAGTAGCTACCGTTGGTATAGCTGGGACATGAAAATCATCATGGGATACCACTGGATATCATGGGGATACCATATATCAATATAAAATATTACAAAATTATAACATATTATTAAAAAAATATTGTAAAATATGATAAAATGCGTTTCGACCGTGTTTCATACTTGAGTTTTGTCACCAAATGATAGGCATAGCTAGGTATGTTGGTTATCAATCACCATTTGCATAACCACTGTCTGAAATTCAGGCGCCGATGCCCAATGTATTAAAGAAATTACATGGAATATTCCGTTGTTAGACTGGATTTATTTCAATCTATTAGTAAATCCATGGTTTACAATCCAAATAAAATCCAATCAGAATGGATTTACAATGATTTGGATCATTTTGGATCCATGAAATATATTGAAATATTCCCTTCTTGATCCAAATAGTGATTTATAAATAAAGTGCATCTCCATACATGTTTTTCTTTGGTCATGACCAGGCTGGGTCTCGGACTGTGGATGGCACAAGAATCGCTGCCAAATGGTTGCCGTTCAAATGCGGCCTAGGCAACCAGGCAACCCTTCGAGGCTCGCGCGAGGGAGAATTCATCGACTGCCTTCTCCCAATGGGAATTTGACATCGGCTATGGAAAATTGCACATAGAAATAGATGGTTTACCTGGGTTTACCTATTAAAAATGGGTGGATTTTCCATGGCTATGTTAGTCATAACCAGATTGAAATGGGTGATGTTCCATAGCTGTGAGAAATAAACATCGCTATGGTGATTCATCATGACTTGCTTGCCAAATCAGTCGGCTGGAAGCTTCTCTTGTAAAATGCACCCTTGCTATTCATCTGCAAAAAACAAACTGCAGATCTTCAAGCACCACTTCAAGCGCTACAGCAAATCAGGGATTGAACCCTCACAATCCTTTGCTGGTTCATGAAGCAGTAACGACTCTGACACATCCCCGAAACAAATTGGTACCACGAAAATGATCAAACATGACGCGTTCAACCGCGCATTCCCATGTTGCGGTGGTGAGCCAATGAATCTCGCAATGCAGTCACCCTGTTGACCATTGTTTGTTCCTCAAATCCCCATATTTGTTGAATTTGGTTGAATTTGTTGGTTCAATAGATTTGAGGGATTCTTCCCAAAGCAGCCATTGATCTCCAGAAAACATGCTATAGAAATTCTATTTTCATGGTCATCCCATCATCATTAATTAGGGATTCCTTTTTTATGGGCTATATACAGTAAGGTATATATAGGGTATATAAGTAGATTGCCCCTGTGATGACCTTGGCGCGGGTTTGTCTGAGAATAGGATTAAAAATGGATAAAATAGGTCCCATCTTCCCCAAAGTTGCCATAACTGAGGTGGCAATGTCAGAGTCGCTCCCATTACCCCAAATACAAGGGTATCTATTTAGGCAAAACGCACATATCAATCAATTCGTAAAATCACAAAAATCCAGGGTTTTTGTGGATATGATTCACCTGTCAGAGGTTGGAGTAGCCTTAAAAAAGCCAGCTTCATCCACCTCCACCAGTAACCCTTTCCAGATCAGCTGCTCCCAATTGGAGCATCATCTCTCGCGTCAACCGAGACCCTGCTCTAGGATGAGCTTTTCGGGCTTCCTCCTCCTGAGTGGCTGGAAAGAACCACGGCTTGGAATCAGCTGGGGCCCTGAACAGGGTGGAACATTATGGAACTTTGAGCATTTTGAGCTTTTTGAAAGAACCACTTGTGTCACTTGATATCACTTGATTCAAGTTGCTGCTATCCCCCCGCGCTCCTGCCATGTCTTTGACAGCATCTCCGCCAAAGCTTCGCTCCGCCATGAAATGTTGACATCCTCCAGCGTCCAAGCCGCGCGGGAGTGGGATGACATCGTTCATAGGGAAAACGGTTTTCTTGAACCAGTGTTCTTCTTTTTTTCCCAACAATTCTACAATCAAATTTGGGAAAACTCCTATAAACCCTAACAACTCCAAACACTTAGACCTTTAGACAATTTCTTTTATGGGATTGAAATAATGTTTTATCGGATTTGGATAATTTTGGAAACCTCCAGTCCTTGGCATCTGCTGGAACTTCTTCCAGGCCTGCAGTGGGTTGATGATTCATCATGGTCATGATAGAAAAACACCACATGTTTCAAACAGAAATCTGAAACCCCAAGTAATGTGGGTAACAATGTCATTTTTACCACCCATGATTGGGAATGGTTTATATTTACCACCTATAAAAATGGTGATGACTGGGGGATGGTTTATTAATGCTTATTATATATGGTGTTTTACCCACATAAAAACTGGTGTGGTCTAAATTTCACGGTGAGTTGGCACGCTTGCGCACCATCCCAAAAGACAGCACTACTATTGATGATGGTCCCCCATTGGCCCATTGCTGGTTGATATGATCTCAGTCATTCAACTCTCCAGTCATTCAGCCAACATCTCAGAGTCTCTGGTCTACGGCGTATATGGTGGTTGAACCCTCTGAAAAATGATGGAGTGAGTGAGTCAGCGATGATTTTTCATTCCCAATATGATGGGAAAGTCATGTCATAAAATTCCGTGGTTCCAAAATGTTCCAAAGCACCAACCAGGAATGTCAAAACATGTTCTCCGTAAGATCCCAACGGTTTTTCGGCCACGAATTGGTTGTTTTCAACCACCAAAAAACCACCCCGCCTTCCTCGGGTCTGGACTGCGGAGTGCCTTCTTTGGCCTCACTTCTTGGGGCTCAAGATCGAAGGGCTGTGCCCCCAAAAGTGGACCTCAAAGCTGATGGAAATTTCTGGGAAGTTGTTTTTTTTCCTCATATATGAACTATTATTGACAACAATAATTCCCATATATGACAGTATAAGCTGAAATTTCATATATGAACTATTATTAACATCTGACTTGATTTGGTTCTTAAAACCATTCCATGATTTTTTTTTAAGAGCCACCCCCGTTCTTGCTACTTTCCAAAGCTTTCGCCAAGAAAAAGCGCAGTGAGACCCTTTTTTTTCCTAGGGCCGGATGATTCTGACCAACTCGACTTCGTAGAACAGCGTGGATCCCGCTGGAATCACTTTCACCTCCGCATCTTCATCTCCTGGAGCTGGACAAATCCATGTCGCATGAACTTGACATGAGAGTTGCAATGTTTGCAATGTATGTTGCAATGTATGTTGCAAGATTTTGTACCCATTCCTTTTCCTGTTATTTTCCTGATAGTGCTCTGAATATGCACCTGAGAGTGCTCAGAATATGTTCTTATACTTCTTATAAACCACTTCCATGGTACTTCTTGAAACAAGGTATACGTAGGTACAGTATCTGTGAATGTTTTGGTGGATGTCATTTTGCCACCTTCACTCACCACATTCATCCCAGCCCACAGTCCTTCTATGGCCATCTGCCCTTCACCGAAACTCAAGTTGGGGGGCTGCACAAACCTCCCCTGTCAGAGCATGGGTCACCCATGTTGCATGATCTACACAACAAATGGCCATGTCAACCAGAAGTTGGGATTTGCATTGTATTTGCACCCCAAAACCAGTGAAAACCAGTGAAAATCATTGGAACAATATGAATCAATTCTGTGTTCATGGTGATTTACCCAACCCGCCCAGCTGGTGCAAAAAAGGCCTTCTCTCCTACCTTCATGCGATGCACTGCCTCCCACGCTGTGGGCAGGTGGTTTTTGTTGAATTTTCCCCCAGATACAGGAAAACCTCCACTTCCTAAGGGGATTTCCCATAGTTTCTCATGATTTTCAATTGATTTTCCGATGTTTTTATGGTGTGAATGACTTGCATGTTTGATGTGTTCTGCAAGAGATCCCAGCCTCCCACATAGCAGGACCAAAACTGTCGTCCAGGTCCACCGTAATTTCCACGTAATCCTCCGCGTTGCGGAAGCCCGGCTGAGACAGGTGAAGGTCTCCAAAAAAAATCACCTACGGCCTACGGGCTTCTCAATCCTACAAATACAGACATTCGAGTTTTTCATAGTTTTTCTACTGAAAAACCCAAATTTCGGATTTGATAAATTTGGGATGTGATTGGGGGTTCAACCAAGAAGTTTTCCCAGCATCCCATCCGGGAATATCCGGGAATCGTCAGCTCCAGCATCTCCTTCTTGGCAGGACGTCGGGCACCTCTTAGACTGGAGGAGTCGAAGACTGGACCCTCAAAGTTGTTGAGATGTCCCACAAACCTCAGTAGCTTCCAGGCTGGACTGATGATCCTATCCCAGCTGAAACCATGGCTATGACCAGGCTGGAATATCCCAGGGGTGATGCTGGAAATTGCTTTAGAAAATAAATTGAGCGAAACCAGACTTGCAAAAACAGCGGCTGGTTTTCAGGTATAGCAACAATAGCAGCATCCCATGAAGCCAGCTAAAAAATCCAGATCAATACCCTCAAAATCCCTCAAATGGCCCTGAGATCCACCTGGGAGCCCCGGACTTCAACCAAATCTTGGCATATTTCTTGGGCGGGCCGTCCCGCAGCTCCGTTCCGGTGCTGCCCGGAACCAGAGTTTCGTAGCTGAAGCCATCAGGTCTCACCTGGTCAACGATCCGATGCCAGGGATGCTACAACCAGTAGAATCAGACCAAAGAATTGGGATTTCCAAAGGAAGAAACCTGGATGACCTAGCCATACCTACCCCATCATCATCCATTGATATCCAGCCCGTTTCATAGATTTTCATACGATAGTTACCCAGGTTTACAGGTATATTATCACAAAACAGCCCTTTGGCAGGTGGTCACCAGCTGGTTTCAGATCGTTGAAATAGATCTCGCCTCAGCATGGCTGGGCCAAGGGGCAGCCAGAAGTGGTAGCCTGAAGCCATCACAGGCGACATACACCCATCTACCCGAATCATCCCGAATCTACCCATCTGAGATGACGTGGTTTTTCGCTGTTTCTTGATAGGGACTATGATGGCTATGGGGTCAATTGACATCTCAAATGTCAATTGACATCTCAATTGACATGTGAAAAGCCACGGTGAATCGGCCCGATAAAAAAATAGCTCGCCCTTCAAATTGTGTGAAAAACATCATAAGTATCATAAGTATCTTGATCCATCCCCACTAGATGTCCATGCCGCCATGGCTTTCATAGACTTGGAGGCTAGAGCCAGTAGGAACACAGCACATTTTTTTGGATCTTACAGTAAATCCGAACATGGTCATTGCGGCAAAAGGAACCTGTTCCTCCCTTCAAGTGCTCATCAAATTTTGCTACTTTACACGAACCCCGCAACTTGCAGTTTTTATGGGTGCGAATGGTGTTATAGTTACAGTTATCACCTACGTGGTTTTTTATGATCGACAAATCTCAGGTTCCGACAAGACATTGCGCCGAGGGAAAAGCCAGCAGGGTGAGATATGCACAGCCTCATCGGCGATCATTCTGGTTACCCTCTGGTCTCTGGTCAACTAACATAGCTACCACTATGGAAAATCATGGTAAATCATGGTTGGTTAACTATGGAAAATCACCATTTTGAGAGGTAAATCATGATAAACCAACCACAAATCAACGGACCATGTTTCCTCCATTTTCAATAGCTATGTTACTGCAAAACACCCGAAGGTAGATGTTGTTTCTGTTTCTGAATGGGTTCTGGCTCAAGGCCCAGGGTGAACAGCCTATGACCAGGGCCTCCGGGCTAGGAGACACACTCCGCTGAGAAAAAACCTGCAGGCTTTCGTGACTTTCGTGAAGCTTCATCTTTTGCCCCATATGTGTTCCACATGAAGATAGCTCATGGTCTTTGTATGTCTCTGTTCGCCCCCCTTGTTTGAAAGATTTGGGTGGGTTTCTAGCAGTAAACTCGGCTCAATTTCGGGGGTATGGAACACACTAAAAAAGGGTCAACAAATGGGGGGCATCAACAAGTCTGCCTGCCAATTCGACGAGAGCCCATCAGTTCTAGGGCGCTATTCACGGGCCCATGAGGACCTTCAATTTCGGTTGTAGCACTAAAATCTATCGAAATTTATCGAAGATTGGGGGATCACTATAAAACCATGTTGGACCCGTTAAACGCCAAATATGAAATTTTCTGCAACAGCACTGTGGAAAATCCTTGCGGGATCCGATCGCCACAAAAAGATGATGTTGGGGAGATCGGACTTGTTTTGTCCAATTTTCCTGGTCGGTGCTATCCAAATATCTGACATCCCAAACGACCAACTGCTTTTTTTTGGCTTGCCAGCAATGCTGATTTTTATCAGCGTGCTATTCAATAGTATAGCTGTCAGCTATTTCATAAGCATCACGTGCGCCCAATTCTGAGCCAAGAGTCCTTCAGAATGCAGCTTGGCTTCAGATAAGTCAACTCATCCAATTCTTCAAGCCGATCAGCGACAACCCAAGCCGTCGTTCAATTCCGGCATGGCGGTTCCAAAAAGACATCAACCCCAGCATCACCCCCTAAAAAGGTGGTGCAGCCCCAGTTATATGCTAGTTTATAAATGTTTATAAACCATATTGGAAACCTATAGAAAATATATAGATATATTAACCATAAACCCAAGTTATTCGAGTTATAAACCAACTTCGCTAACGAACTGGCCACCAAATGGCGCACAACTGGTCGTAGTTTGGAACTGGGCTGCAGGCTAATTGAGCAGCATATTCTGCCAGAAACGCTGTAGCCAGTGGCACTTCTTGACCCTCCGCAGGCAACCTGGTCTTGCACAGCACACAGCAACCGTGTTTTTTGGGGCATCCACCATGTCTTACCATGGTACCATGGTACCATGGCTCTGAACGATGCATCCCAATGATAATTTGTGTGACTCGCCTGAAGGTGTCGCCTTCGTCTTCCAATCCGCAAGCCAGGAACAGCAGCCTTTCCGAGTCAAGCAATGTCCAAAACTGCCACCGTGGATATTCAGTTCTGGGAATTCCACTCATCCTGGGAAGGCATGTGATTCAACAATTTGCAAACCGGACACAAAGTACTCATTGATCATCATACCAATCTACTCTTTCTAGTATTCTATGGTTGCCATTTCATCTTTCAAGTATTTCCAAGTCCTTTCTAGAACAATTGCATACCCTGTCTTCGTCCAAACGCTCCTGGCAGACTCAATTTGGGACTCTGCAAAGTCCTGGAGGAAAAAATCAGCGAATTCAACGAATGGATGCTTCCCCAATTGTCTTGCCAAGTCTTGCCCACTAAAACTGCAAAAACACATAGTGAACAGGCATGAAATTGGAGACCTTTCTTGAACATGGAGTTGAAAAACTGAAGAATGGCAATCGGTACCATGTTCCACTCTGGCAACATTGTGTATACATGACCTATGACTTTGCCACCATCGGGACCTCCATTTTGGGGATTTCCCATTGCCGCCATTGCCATGTTTCATTCGAAAAGGGCAAGAGTTTATTTTAACAAACCATTCAGCAGAGCCACCAACAGTTCCATGCCTCTTAAAGGAAAGCACAGGCTGGTGCAGATAGCTCTGCCGAACACAGAAGTACTAGACTTTCCAAATACAAGGGAAAAAAAAACACTGGAAAAATGTTCTTCAACTTCTCTGAATTTTATTTTCGGAGACAATTCGGACAGGAGAATGATCCGCATATTGGAGCATACGAGGATGATTCAAAAGCTACAACACCATGATTTTGGATCCATATGATCCATAAAAATCAGGGATGTTCATGATGTTCATGATGTTCATCACCCAGAAACTTGATCCGACTGGAGAAAAATCATCATTTTTCGCAAGCCCCTTAAAAAGATAGCACCTGTTTTTTTCAACGACGTTGCTCAAAATAGTGGCCCAAACTCCATCATGGTGTTCTAACGGTTAACTTTTTGGAGGGGTTACTCATGTGACGCAACGGTGCAGTAAAAGATCCGTGGTAAACATCTAAGCAATTTTTATTGTATCATATGTTTCGGTGAAAATGTTGGGGATTATCACCCATCCAAATCAAGTGTTACCGAACATGTTACTTCAAAAAATGCGGGGATTGTCACTAGTTATCATCCATCAAAGTAAAGATCATCATGATTACCATATAAATATCTATAAAGGAAAATCTATAATATATATACAATATATATATATTATAATTGAAATATCATATATCGACAATATAATATATACCAAATTTTACCATATAAAGATAAAATGATCAAGTGATAATATATGATATTATATGATTATCTTATCGCTTGGGACCAGCTAAAATTCTGTGTAATCAGGTCCTGAGGCACGTGGATCTCTTCACCTTCCGCCTTCAAGGCTGCCAGGATCTCGCCCACCCATGCCTGGCAGGCAGCCCCCCAAAAAAAATCCATGCTTTAGGGTAAATCATAGTAGAACATGGCAAAAATCGTCAAAAATCCCTGTAATTCCCATAGTATCTTGGTAAATCCTATGGCGAAGCCCCATCAAAATGGACATCCCTTCCGAATTTTCTTTGCTAAATCCTGCGATTTTTAGAAAAATGGAGACTCGCCAGTTTCGTCACACCTGGCCTGGTGGGAGGCCAGAGTGACCTGGCTGAGTTTTCCGAATTTGTCCACTGATGTTCCAAGGTCGGAGCTGAAAAACCTGGCTGAAGATTGCCATTAAATTTGTTGCAAATGGAAACAAATGGATCATAAATGGATCTATAGCAACAGTGCAGAGACCTCCCTCCGCAACGAATCATGAGTATATGGTATAATCCATCAGCAACTGGATTCTAAGCATGATGTGCACCATGACCAAGATATACGAAGTGATATCAAGCGTACTACAATGAACATCCAAACATCTAGATGAATGATAAGAATTCACGCACCTGAACCAAGGCCATTAGGGGATTGACATCCAGCCGTTTTTAGTGTGGTTTTAGGTTTGCCCGGAGCCTCCGAAGCAGCTGAATGCAGAATTCCCTGGCAAAACAGAATGTTTTGTTGAAAGGTACAGTGGACAATGTTTAAAGTTTAAAGATGTTTTTTATGCAGCAGACTGAGAAGGTGAAGGTGTCCCACAATTTCGACATAGCAATCCAGGAGTTTTTCCAGTTGTACCCAGAAAAACACCGTCAGACCATGTCAGACCGAGGAGCCAAGAGCTGGCTCTTGAAGTCCTCTGCAGCCATTGCCCAAGCCAATGGGCACAAAAGTGTGGCCTATCCTCGCTATCCTCTTCCCTAGGTCTGCACATAGTATGGCTTTGGAGACTCACAAGGCGGTGACTTTTTAAGTTTATCCATGTTGATCCTATCTATGATGTACAATATAGATTCATAGAAAGGACAATTGGCTAATGTTCTGCAAATATACATGTTTTCTAGAAAATCTAAGCAATGACTGCTCCAGCACTTGAAATTGCGACGTCACTACCTGGCAAAGTGCCCCAAGTCTGCGCAAAAACATTGAGTTATATTGAGTTGAAGGCATTTATCCTTGCAATCGCCTAAGCCGCAATAGCTTGAATCGCATTCCACATTAACAGTATCAGAGTGCAAAGATTTCAAAGATGTCGACTTTGTCAAATGAAGAGTTGAAACCTGGTCAAATGGGCAGTCGAATGGGCGGCTTTGGATTTTTTGGATTTAACTTTGGATCAAAAAGTGCCGGAGGATCGTTGTTTTCTCTCTGCCAAGCCAGGGTATGCCCTTTGCTGTGCGCAAGGGCTCCGGAACAGAGAACAACTGCTGGCAGTGATCGAATCGAAGCACTGACTTGGTACCGGCACTTGGCAGCTAGACAATAAGATGAACCAATCAGCAATGCATGAACCAGTCAGCAATGCCAGCAATGTCAAAAATCCTCCCAGTTACAAATCGATGAGCCGGGAGACCTCAACCAATCTACAAGTTCTCAATTGAGAAGCAGTCATTGTGCCTCCCCTGGAGACCGACGGCGACCGAAGAGTTTCAACACCGCATTGCGTGTGTCCACCATTTTATGGCACGCTGAAGCAACCCCTTCCGCGACTCATGTTTTCAGCGAATCAACATCCCTTCTGCGACAACTCAACTCAATTTCATCAGACATCAATTTTATTCTCATGATAATCCATGATATACATGATATACATGATATATATATGATATACACAATATATATATATGTCCTCAGCACTCTCCCAAGCATCCTTTTCCAAGTGGCCAGAATAGCTGCTGCTATGTTGCTTGCCAAAGGACTCATGCTCGTTTGAGCTGGGTAATGGCCTTCAAAATGGCCTGACCCCCTTTGGTAGAGTTAAATAGAATGAATGGAAAGGTAGGTGGCTGGGGCGGTGGTGGCCCACTAAGATGCCTTGAGGTTGAAGACGGCCACATTCGGTCACCTGGTTCGAAGGCCCCGGACAAAAACCTGCAAGCAGAACGAATGTCCTCAGCACTCTCCCAAGCATCCTTTTCCAAGTGGCCAGAATAGCTGCTGCTATGTTGCTTGCCAAAGGACTCATGCTCGTTTGAGCTGGGTAATGGCCTTCAAAATGGCCTGACCCCCAACCCCTGATCCCTCAGGGCCTTGGCCACACATTTAGCTAGCTGACTGCACATAGCCCAAGGATATGGTTGCGCCTTCAGAGTCATGAAGAGGCCATCAGCATCGACTCCTACCAGCGGAATGTGTGGCCGTTTGGTTCTACTGCAACAACCTCTATGGGAGTGGCATTGCTTTTCCAAATCAGATATGTCAATGTTATAGTAGATCAAGTAGGTAGGTTTTTTCCAAAGTTCTCCAAACTGACAATAATCCAAAGAAACGCCATGCAAACCAGGAGTGCTCATCAATCTACGCATAGGTGGAAGCTCCCAGGCCATGCTAGAGTACGGGTTCTCCAGGACAATGGGAACATGATGTTGAATACATAGACGAAACATTCGAACACTCCACCGCAGCAATAAGTTTCCAACGGTAACCTTACGATGGTCAGCATAAGTCAAACCAGGTAATCCCCATAGATAATGTTCTGAACGAAGAGGACCAGGACCTAAACCATCCCACTTTCTCGCTCTGGAAAGGGAAGTGCAGGGCATGCCACACCAAACGAAAACCACCCGACCCGATCGAATCCAATTGAAGATCTTGTGCTCGATATTCGTGTTCAGGACATTATGGTGCTGAAACAAACACACATCAATAGGAAAACAAACAATGCCCAACTTGTTGATCTCTCTGCAGACGCGAGCTGTGCCAGCAAAAATCTCTAAGGCAAAGTGTGCAGGAAGATCGGTTAGGGTGAAAACATCTATTTCCCAAGGAGGTGTCACAGCCTCTTTGGCTGCATGCGGCCGCTCATCACTGACTTCAGATTTCGCTGAGACCAACGACAGTACTCCAGACTTCCTTTTGACAACTGTCCTAGAAGAGTCTGAATCTTTCCAGTCTTGGTGTAACGCCTCACACTCTGGTCTGTGCTCCATCTGCCCCTGGCCTTGACCTGGGCGTGGTCCCTGGCTTTGCTGGCCAGGTCGTGAGCTGCCCCTCCATGTCTGAGTTGGTAAGGGTGGAGACCGGGAATCCCTAGAATCTTTGACACTTCTCCAAACTGTTTGCGAAACTCCTCCATGGAAAAACTGAAGATCTTCGCCTCCTTGTCCTTGCCCTTCATCATGGTTGAAATCACATCTCCTATCCAGATTCTGTCGGCTGAATTCAGAGCTATGGTGTTGTCGAAAACCCCCACTTTGTCGGGCTGTTTCTCGTCGAAGTCTCTCACAATGATGGAATGCCATCGAAACTGGGGACCGGCTCCCTTCACCGGCCTGACCAAGTGCTTGTTCTTCAGGTCGATGCTCTCTCCCGGACGCATATATGTGTCGAAGTCCAGGATGACTTTCACTGCCATTTCTTTTTGGCTGCGACTCATTAAGGCCATGGCAAGACCATACGCCAGCAACATGGGCATGGGAACTCGACTCTGGGGAGGCGCTTCCTTGCGCCAGCCTCTCAGAGCCCTTCGAGTGCGAAGGAGGTTTCCTCTCACTTTGTGGTGATGGTACTCTACACTTGCCATAGTTTTTTCTCCGTCTGCTACATGACGCCCTTCCAAAAAGATGTGATCCAGAAAGTCTGTCAGCAATGAGTCCAACTGACAGTCTGCTGGTTGTTCCACTCCGGAATCCCGGCAAAAGGCTCTGAACCTCTCGTAATGGATGGCGTACTGATTCTCTACCACCTTTGAAACCGACCTTCTCTCCAGTCGGCTGAGTCCGCTGCGAGCTGCTAAGTCGTTGGCCTCTTGAGTCAGCCCATCCACTGCCTGCAGGCTCCTCCTCCGTCTCTTCATTGGTTGCATGTTCTTGGCTGTGGTGCCATTCAGGGTCCTTTTCAACGAGGGCTCCTTCTTGTTCTCCACAACAGCTGGGTTCTGCAAGGATCGAGCTTTGACCGGGGAACTCTTCGCCAGTCTCTCCCCTCTCAGCACACGCTTCGGCTTCGGTGCGGAGGCGCGACCCTTGGATGAACTGCTTGGAGTAAGGACCCGGCTGGATCTGACCCCTTGATGGCCCGTCCGCCACATTGTGTTCAGAGGGAACCCATCTAGTGCGCAGGGTAAAACCACCTGCCAGGCTAAGCGCGGCCACCTTTTGAGCCGTCCGAAGCATACCAAAATTGGTTGCTCTACCCTTGCACATAGTCATGCTAAGAGCAAAGCTATCAATCAAAACCAGGTGCCTCTTGTTGCGATTGCGAACTGAACGACAAAGATGCCTAGCTACCAAAACCAGTGAATGACCCTCCTTTGCAGTGATATGCTCTTTAGTGTTACGCCAACGACCCATGAGCACAGTCGACCAGTCTTCAGGTTTAGTGTACTCTTCGGGGACTTCAGGGAAGTTGTTGTTGTAAGAATATAAATCCTCAACAGTGCTACTAATAGGAAAACTGCGTGCAGTGCGTAGATCCCCCAACACATCCTGTCCTGCATAGCGCTGCCTTGGGCGCCATTCTGCAGGATCCAAATGCTTGAAGCGCCATCGATCCTGCCAAGATCCCAATTCACGGACATCTGATTCAGGAAGCTCTCTCTTGCAAATGCCATACCCTTCTGGACTGGCATCAGAGCAATGGATAGTGGATGACCAAGTGCGACGAAGCTCTCCAACCAACAAAGGAACTAGCCCAATAAATATTTTCACTTCCCGTCTCTCCAGCTTATTCAAAAACCGTGGTTGCTCAGCTCGCTCCACAAAATCGTAGAGAGCCCTAAAAACTGACATGCCAGCCCTGTTAAGAACACACAATGTCATAGCGTGCCCCAAAAGCTTTTGCATAAACTGCCAGTTAACTTTGCTAACCAAGGCCTCCTCAAAGCCAAGTAGGATGTTCCATGCCCTAGTTGGAGTAGCACGAATCTGACCAGTGCCACCATCTACTATTCCACCCAAAGTTTGAAAGAAATCCGTGGATGAAACCTGCTCATGCAACGAAAAACCAATCCCTTCTAAATCGTCCTCCATTCGCTGAAGGCTATCATCAGCTGCAGTCCTGGACAGAGACAAGCTGTGCACATTGTCGCAATAAGGCATTGCAACTGCATCATCACGGCTCAAAACTGGTGCTGGATAGCCATCCAAAATAAGACGATCACGACCCACCCCCAAAGATCTCAATGCAGACTGCTCGTGCAACTTTTGGATGAGGAAAAAACTCCAGCTAAAACCCATAGGTAGCACATTGATACATGGAGACACCGAAGAGCGGTTCGAAGGGAAAGGAAAATCATCACCCCAAACAAAACGTGCTTCATCTGGAGAGAGATCATGGCAAAGACAAAAGAAATTGGAGAGCTCTGCGGAAATCTTAGCAGCATAAAAGCAGTCCTGAATATCCGACCCACCGCAGAAAAGTCTCTCACCATCCTTCAGCTCCACCTCGCACAATGCAGCTAAACTGCCGAGCTCACATTTGGGCGGTTCTCTAAAAGCAAGGTTGACCTGCCTGCAGTCCAGTATGAGCCTCTGTCTTTCTACAAACTTCCCATTGACCTCTTTTGGTTTTTTGGTAACACAAAAAGCACCAACCCTGCCCCTACACGATGTGGTGTGACTCAAGATGCCACATTCATTCAAATGAGCAAGGAAAGAAAGGTATTTGCTTCTATCCGACAGCGATGGGTCATTGTAAGGCTTGATCTTATGAGCATGCTCGCAAATAGAACTCCACGTTGATGCATCTTGCAACATCCAATCCTCGAAACTATCAACCATATCCTTAAGGGGTTGTTCCAAGGCAGATGAAAGATTGACACCAGCGACCCTACCAGAAGGGAGTGATAGTAGCTCCAAATTCATGTTAGCCACCTCTCCCACTCCTGCAATGGGTTCGGAATACCCATTGCATGGTGCCCGGAGCGCCTCAAGGGCTCCTCGGCGACTTGCACCAGAAGGCATAGGTCCAAATGCATCAACTCTCCGGATCAGATCGCGAATGCACTCTTGCTGAGACAAAGGAAGCTCTGCTAGCTTTGCAATGCATCTCCCTTCATCCCAATGCCTCCCCATGTAAAGCGAATTCAGAGAAAAAATGGCCCGGTTCACCATCTTAACAACAGCGGACTTACGGAGGATCCGTCTTCGCACCGCCCGACACACGTCACCCTGCACTGACGCCACATCCTCTAACAGCGGTAAGGGAAGCACATCACGTGCCCTACCATCACTGCAGGGTTCATGAAAAATCCGACTGCGCCACTGTCTCACCATTGCTAGGCTCCCCGAAAACTGCAGGGCAAAAGAACAAAGCTAAGCCAGTGTCCAAACCCAAAAAATAAAACAATGTTGTGAATATCGTGCACGGCCAGCGAGATCCGGATGACACCACTCAGCCCTGGCCAAGCTGAGCAGCCCGAAGAAGCCTACGATCCACTGCCCCCGTCACCGTGGCCTGGTTTGGCCTTGGCTTGAGGGCCACTTGGTTTGCCACCGCGCCCAGGGCCTTTGCCCTTCATCTCAGCCTGCTTGCGTTTCTCCTTTAAGATCTGTGACTCCTGATGCAGCTTGCGTGAGACATGTTCTGTGAGCTCTGGGACGACGATCGCTCCACCGGGTCTATACGATGTACCCAAGAAATGATCTGCTCCTTCATATGATGGTGCCGATGGATTGTAAGCATGAGCTTCAGCTAACAGTTGCTTTCTCCGAATCAGCAACTCGAAACTAGCCAGGTTTGAAACATTAAGGGAATCATAGGTGATCGCCAAGTCCAAAGCCCTAGACAAGACCTCATTCTCATGGATGGCCCTGTCACCATCAGGAATCTTGGACTGGGAGACCCATCCCAGGTGCTGGCCAAAAGCTGACTCCGCCACACTGGAGACTGCCCTCAAATAGGACAGTGACGTCCTAGGCTCTAGGGGGAAATCATCAAAATCAGCCTGTACCATCTCCGCAATGGTCTCCTTGAAATTGCGCTGTCTCTCACCAGAAGCTGCATATCTGACTTCTAAAGTACGAACATCTTCTGATGCAAACTTGTCACTTCCCTCCAATGCTTCAGAACTCCGTGCCAAACCAATCCGCTCTTCGCAAAAAGCTGGAATGTTCTCGATCGCCAATTGCCTAATCAAAACAGGTCTACTATTACCTTCATTGTCAGCAAAAACCATCAGCCCATAATCTCCTTCACGTGCATGCCCAACAGGTGGCACAACTTGCTCCCCAATAGGATGACCAGGAACACTTTCTGCGAGGACCCACACATGTTGCCCCAAAACGGCTGGAGCTGGAGGGACAATACCCCTTCGGTTCTGTTCAGCTAAAACCTCAATGCGGCCATCGGCCAAGATCTGCTGGTATTGTGCGAGAGTCATCTGCCGGAACCCATACACTGAAGCTGCTGCAACCCCCAAAGGTAGTGACCCATCATCCGGCCCCACATAGAAACCCACGAGATCAGGATTCGATTGATCAAGGACTTCTATATAGGTATCGCCATCGGGAGTACGAATCATATGCTCATGCCCAGCTATATGCCCCAAAAGATGCCTTGAGGTTGAAGACGGCCACATTCGGTCACCTGGTTCGAAGGCCCCGGACAAAAACCTGCAAGCAGAACGAATATATATATATACGGCAAATGCCTGGGCTTTGCCCGGACCCGCAATGACGACAGACGACGCATCATCATCATCATCATCATCATCATCAAACCCTTATTGAAAATCTTCAGTGAATGTAGAAGTTTCACAGGGGTGGGAGAATTAAACCCTTATCGAAGATCTTCAGTGAATGTAGAAGTTTAACGGGGGTGGAAGAATTAAAACCTTATCGAAAATCTTCAATGAATGTAGAAGTTTAACGGGGGTGGAAGAATTAAAACCTTGTTGAAGATCTTCAATGAATGTAGAAGTTTAACGGGGGTGGGAGAATTAAACCCTTATTGAAGATCTTCAATGAATGTAGAAGTTTAACGGGGGTGGGAGAATTAAAACGTTATTGAAGATCTTCAATGAATGTAAAAGTTTAACGGGGGTGGGAGCTTAATATTCCCTAGTACCTTTGTTGATCTTCCCAATTGAATGTAAAGTTTAACGGGGTGGGAGTTTAATAGTTCCTAGTCCCTTTGTTGATCTTCCCAATTGAATGTAAAGTTTAACGGGTGTGGGAGTTTAATATTCTCTAGTACTTTTGTTGATCTTCCCAATTGAATGTAAAGTTTAACCGGGGTGGGAGTTTAATATTCCCTAGTACCTTTGTTGTTTTTCCCATAGGAATTTAAGGTTTAACGGGGGTGGGAGTTTAACTATGTTGGCATTTCACTGGCTGCGAAAAATATTAAGGATTTTGTTGAATTTTTGTCGAAAATGTAGAAATCATGCTGACAATGCTAAATTCACCACAACCGGAAAGTGCAGATGCTGCTTGTTTTCCACTCACGTCCCAGCATAGCGCTGTCCAAATGCAATGAGCTTGTCGATGGCAGTTGGGCACCTCAGCTGGATCAATTCATTTCACAATACTTCAACTGTGATGTGATCACTCTGCTTTGGATGTGAGCGCAATAAACGTCTGTCTAATAAATTCAAAATTTAAACAAACAATGTTGATTTGCAGCCACAAGCCAGCAATCTCTTGCTGCGCGCATGTCCAAGGTTTTGAGCAGCTAGGGCAGCTGGTGTTTGCACCACTGACCAAACCAAACGTTGAAAAGTATTCTTCCTGTAGCTTCAACCCCGATTCACAAGCTAGGAAGAAGCACCCCTACTACTACTATGATTGACCCTACAGCCACCTGACCCCATCTCATTTTCGAGAAGAAGGCTCAGGATTCAAAGCTAAAGCTGTCAGAATAGTAAATACCCAGGATCCGGCTTTTGAGAGCCGAAGATATAAAGATTGAGCAGCCCCAAGCTTGGATGAGCAATGCCTGGAAGAAGACAGGATTCTCCAGGAAGAGCACCACAATCTCACCATCGAAGAAGCATCACCAGCTTGGGCAGCAGGACAGGGCCGCATCAGGCAGCGACCGGTCACACACTCAAAGAGAACGCATCCATAGGACCAAATGTCGACGCTGGGTTTCAGGTGCTTGCAAATTTCCTTGCGGGAAGCATGCCATAGTTCTGGAGGGCGATAAAGTGCCGTGACATATTCAGAGTAACGCAATTGAGCAGCTTGAACGCTTTCCATCATCTCAGACATGCCAAAATCCGCAAGCTTCATCCTGAAGGTCTGTGTAGACCACAAGATATTGGCAGGCTTGACATCCAGGTGCAGCACGCCCAGGCCATGAAGGGCTTGCAAAGCAGCCTTCACTTGAGAAGACAAGCACAGCATGCTTTGTTCATCCAGGGCTCCACTTTCTTGCAGGACTTGCAGCAAAGATGGTCCTCCAAATTCTAACGCAACAAATGGGAAAGGTTTCTTGCTTTCGTCAGCTTTCAGAAAGACAGGAAAGAGAAGCTGCTTCACAGGCTCAAGCCTGTCTCTGATCAAATTCAGCACCAGCAGCTCCTGCTTGAAGTCCACCATGCTTTTGCTGCACTTGTACACCTTCACCGCGCACATGCTACCATGTGGACCCATGCTTGCAAGAACAGTACCATAGGAGCCTTCCCCAAGAGGTTCCCTGTCTGGAAGAACCTCGAAATCGTCAATCTTTGAGATGAGCTGCTTTGCTCTGTTCTTGGTGCGTTGCTGGAGCTGCTGGGGCGGCGCGGATTTTCGCTGCTCTGGTTCACCGCGCGCCTCTTTTCGAAGGGGTAAGCCTTGAGCTTTCATGGCAGCCCTTTGCTGAAGAAATTCTTCCTGGCATTTCAGTTTGTATTGCTGCTTCTCTGCAGGCAATAAAGCTTTCCAAGCACGGCCCAGCTTCTTCATCTCCTTTTGGTACTGCAACCGGGACGACCCTGGCTTGAGAATGCTTTTCTCCTTGAGGAATAAGGCAAATGGTCGGCGGGCCTTTGGCACAAGGCCTTCAGAAACTGCAGCTTTGCGAGCAATGTGTTCACGGCTTTGGCACTTGTCCTTTCTAGGAGGGCAAGGCTGCTTGAATCTCAGCCGGAACTTTGGAGAACGCTGCAGTGCCATGGGGCAGCAGGTGCGGTGCAGGTGCCTTTCACTTGGGCCGCATAGAGCTATAGTGATAAGCAATGGCATCGATCTGCAGAGCCTGCTGCAAAATAAACAACAACGGCAACGGATATTAAATCGAAGCTGCTAACAACAACCTAATGAAGATGGTAAGGACGGATGTAACAGCTCAGCACATCCCAAACAAGCGGCGGACTTCTTGCCACTGGTTCCACAGCACATGCAGCCTTTATTTTAACGATTTAGAAGCCTCTTGTATTGGGATGCCCAACTCTTCTGCAGCACAGGTGGCCAAAATTGCTAGAGTTTGGTCAAAAATTGGGCAGCTGCGGCTGCTAGGCTAGCAACGCGGGGGCAGCTGATCGTCCCTCATCGCTCTCAGGTTCCGCAAGTTCTTCTTCAGCATTGGCATCTGGAGGGATTAAGTTCTGCAACACATCTGCAAAATACTGCCTTACAGATTTTCCCAGCTCTTCAGAATGCAAGGTGGAACCTTGGATCGAAATGAGCCCACAGGCAGCTCTGTCCGCCACTCCCTGCAACCACTGCATGTGCTCACGGTTCAGGCACAGCCCGTGGTAGTGAACACCTCTGGTGATGCAAGCTTCCATCATAGCTCCTGAGCCAGCTGTCACATCAAAGACTGCCTTCACTTTGAACTCATCTAAGATGGCCAGGTAGAAGTTGATGGGCTTGCCTTCTTGCCAGAACAAAGGCACATCATTGGTGTGCGCATCCTGCCAAGCTTGTGGGGCTGCTGGTACCGCGGGGGCAGCAGCAGTGAAGATTTTGGCTTTCTCAGCGCATGTGATGAGGGGCAGCTCGGAAGCAGGACGGAAAGCAACTCCAGAATATGTATTCTGGAATGTGGTTGCCTCCCCACAGGATGTGAAATTCTCCTTCTTTGCTGTCTTGAGCTTGCTGCGCACTGCTGGAAATCTGATAGCAGCCGTCTCAACCTTTCTGGAACTCAGCGGAACCCTTCTGGTGCGGCCGGCTCGGGGAACGCATCCACCGGTATAGATGATGAAGATCTCCTCTGTCTGGGTCTGGGACAGCACAATATCTTCCTAGTCAGCAGCAGGACATCATTGAACACAATATACACGGTTCTCTGCAAATGGCGATCGGTTAATTCATAAGTTAACAAATCTGATGATGCATTGCGGCATGATTGTGCAAGCAAGCCACATGAATGCGTCTCACCTCTCGCATCCGACCATCGCACAGAAGACAAAAATCAGTGGGGCCAGTGAGGCTTATGGCAAACTCTGCCACAGAATTCCACTGGGCTGCTTGGGGCGGCGAGGGCTGCATCCAGGGTTCATCTCCAGTTTCTGTTGCCAGATCAGCTGAAGCAAAGATAAGCCGATGGCTGCTGTTCAACTGCCCAGAATGGGACCACACCTTCCCACTTCCTCGCAGAGCAGCTTGCAAAGTATCTTTTGCCAACTTGGAAACCACGCTGAAGGTGATGAACTTGCGCCGCTCTGCCTGCACCTGTTTCCAGACCCGTTCCCTTGCCACAACTTCCTCTTCAGTCGAACCAGAAGGAGTGAGAGTTTGAATCAAACTCTGGGCGGGCAAGGATGTGCTGATGGAGACACTTTTGGTGCTGGTGTCAAAAGACTGGACGACCAAGCAAAGGCACTTGATCAACTCCAAGGGCTTTGTCTCACAGCCCTTTTGCTCTTTCTGAGCAGCTTGGGCAGCTTCAGAGACAGCATGTGACAATTTCACATTGTCTTGGCTGAGCGATCGGCAATCATCCATATGCTTGCCCTGCATCAACTCTAGCAGAAGTTCCAGCAATGCTCCAGTCGCCTTGTTAAAGTCTGCCTTGAGGGTGTCCAGTGCTGACAGCTCTGGCTGCTCTGCTGCTGGGGCGGCAATTTCGTCCTCCTCCTCCTGGATCACAACGTCAGTGCAGGCAGACATCTGGCCCTGGAGGAAATCCGCCCAGCAAACTTCTGGATCTAGGATTCGGAGCAAAGCATTAGCGCACCTCTTGCTCTCAGCATCAGGCATCTTGTTCTGGAGCGGCATGAGGAAATCGAAGGCCTGCAGGGCTACGTTATTATTAATGAACCAGCGACTCACTGGAAACCAGCGACTCACTGGAAACCAGCTGGTACTAGTAGTACCGCACAAGGCGGTGGCGGAAGTTTCAAAAATAGGAAGCCTATAGAAGAGGTTGGTTGTTGTGAATCACATATGGCAGGGCGAATCAACTGATGGACAGACAGGTGGTTAAAGTTGTGTTTTTTGGAGTGGTTGCAATGGTCGCAGTAGTCACCTCACCCACAACTGCTGGATGTAGTGTGGTGCAGCGCAGTTGTAGTTGTAGTTGTAGTGTGGTGTAGTGGAGTTGTAGTTGTAATGTGTAATAATAAGTGTAGTGTAGTGGCAGTTGCGGTTGTAGTTGTAGTCGTCGTGTGGTGTAGTTAGTGCATCGTGTATTCTGGTATACTGTAGTGTTTTGTACTGTAGTGTGGTATAGTGTAGTGTAGTCTAGCGTAGTGTAGTGTAAGGTAGTTTAGTTGTAGTTATAGTATGGTGTAATGTAAATAGTGTCGTGTCGTGTAGTGCAATGTAGTGGTAGTTACAATTGTAGTTGCAGCTGCAGTTGTAGTTGCAGCTGTAGCGTAATGTAATGCAATTAGTGTAGTGTAGTGCAGTGTTGTGTAACATAGTGTAGTTGCAGTTGCATGTGTGTGTAGTTGTAGTGGCAGTGTAAGTAGTGCAGTGTAGCATAATGTGGGGTAGTTGAGATTGTTGTTGCAGCTGTGGTACTAGTAGTTGTTGTAGTCGTAATTAGGGTAGTAGTGTAATGTAGCGTAACTTATTTGCATCTGTAGTTGTAGTAGTAGTGTAGTGTAGTGATTGAAAACACAGCAATTCTGCGAGACTTCCTCAACTTTTGAACTTGATAACGTCAAACAGAAGCAATTCTGCAGGACTTCCTTAAATTTTGAAGTGATCAAAGACGAAGCAAGTCTGTCATGTTTTTCCGAAGGTGACAACATCAAAAGCAAAGCCATTCTGCCATATATGAAATTCCATGACTACTCCACTTCAATCCGCATGGCTGCTCTGGCTGCAGAGGGCAGCTTGACTAGACCCTTGGCCGCGCCAATTTGACCCTTCAATGCACCATTTTGAGAAAAACGCGCGTTGAAGGGTCAATTTGGCGCGTTGAAGGGTCAAATGCACATATGTATGTATATAGATAAAATACACATATGTATGTCTATATATATATATAATATATATATATTCGCACTAAATAATATATATATATACATTTACATGTTCATATACATTTATTATAGATATATTACCTTAAAGATAATATTTACTAGATCTAATTTTTAAAGGGCAGGGCCCAAAACAATTCTGCGAAACATCCTCATTTTTTGAATTTGACAGCATCAAAAACAAAACTAAACAATTCTGCGAAACCTCAATTTTTGAACTTGACGAAATCAAAAGCAAAACAAGTCTGCGAGACTTTCTCATTTTTTGAACTTGACAACGTCAAAAACGAAACACTTTTGCGAGACCTCCTGAATTTTTGAAATTGACAACATAAAAAACGAAACAATTCTGCGAGACTCTCTCAATTTTCGAAGTTGACAACATCAAAAACGAAACAATTCTGTGAGACATCCTCAATTTTCGAAGTTGACAACATCAAAAACGAAACAATTCCGCACCCGGGGTTAGCGAGCCTACCTTTCGACCCTCCGGAGTTTGGCAGCTTTCCTACCTTTTCGCGCACCTGCATCTTCTTTCTTCTGGCTCCTTCTATTCCTCTGATTCTTCCCACCTCTGCTTTTCCATCTGTCCATATTGTCGGAAGTTTGACTTCTAAACTTCCTTCGAAAAGCAGCATTCCCCATCAGATTTACATTTTCTGTCCACCCCACCTCCAAAGCAACGATGCATGCCTGCCAATATCCGTGGGTCCCATGCTTCCGGTCGCCCAAAAGCCAAGCCTCTGTTGCCTTGGTTGGATTGATCAAGCCCAAACGCAAAGCAAGGTGAAGCATTCCCACCAGCCAACCTGCAACTTTGCCAGAATTTTGTGCAGTACCACTGGGTGACGCTTGGGCAGCTGTGGCAGCTCCTTTTGCAATTTGTTGCAAACGATTGAGCTTCGAGTAAGCATTCGACAGCAAATCGCGACCATAAGCCAGCTCAAGTTTTCTCATGGACGCTTCAAATTCAGGGCCGTCATTGATCAAGGTAAGGATGCCCATCGCTGCTCGGTGCATGGAAGCATTGTATGAGGCATTGTTGAAGCGCAGCTTGTGGTGGGTGCCATCAGAGACCTGCTGGATGTTAAGCAATTTGACAAGGTGGGCGAAGTCTATGAAAGTAGCTGATAAAGCTGCATCCTTGATGGACTTCAGGCATTCCGATGCATGGTTCCTGGCCAGAGCCCAATCCGTTTCACTCGGACAAAGTCTGACCTGTATGGTGACAGAGCGGCCAACTTCCCACAATAGATCAAGCCACTCTTTGTCCTGAGCTCTGTCTCACCAAAGCAAAGCACTTGGATGCTGCATGAACCAAAAGATCATTGGTCATGGATGTGGATGCTTGCAGGAAAACAATTAATATGCACAGCCAAGAATCATTCTTCAGCAGCGCATGGAAAATGGCTACATACCAGCTCCAAATCACAAAATGGCACCCGGCAGTGTTCAAACATGAGTCGAAATGCATTCGATTTTCAATATCGCTGCTAGCTTCAACGCCACACACCATGGTGATGGGCCAAATGAGCCTTGGCTTCTGCTGGCGCTGCTTTTTGGGACCTCGGGTAATGAACGCGTTGAGGGCGACATCTTTGCTGAAGTAATCTGCCTCGAACTTCCGCAGGGCGCTAAATGCAACATCGCCAGGGCTGATGTCTCTGGAGATGCCTGCGCTGTACACTCCAGTCCGCAGCCACAGCACCAGGCCAGACGCTTCATACAACCCGTTCACCTGCATGGAGACTTGGCATAGCTCGGATGTCCAAGGAGCCTAAGTTCACATATGGAGCTGGCACAAATATCAAAGCATCGGAAGCCATTGCAAAAAGCTTTGAACAGTGATAAGTAGAAATAGGCTTGGAGGACATGCCAAACTCAAGAATTGCCACGGCAATGTAAGAAAAATGATGTCAGGCAGCCGGGAAACTTTGTATCCAGATGCGTCTTTCTCCTTCGCATCTGCGGAAATGTCAAGAGGCGAGGCCTTGTACATCTCCTTTGCTGGGCTGTACTTCTTTGGCAAGTTGCTTTTGACCTAAAGAGATGCTGATGCAATCCAATTGGAAAGGTGGGAACGCATTGCACACGAAACTGCTCTGCAGGAAAAGGGAAATTGATTAATATCTAAATCTTAATCAATGCATAGCCATGGGCGAAATCAAAGTCAGAGAGGCCCTGGCCCAAGGTATCAGTTTCTCCATGAACGCGCGAGAGCCTGCCTGAGAAATGGCATCATGGGAAGGGTTGTGCCACTTCATGTGGGACATGCTTCCAGGCTAGCCATGTCCTGTATATTAAATATAAGACAGAATTATATAACTTGAATCTCGGACGTGCACTGGGCTGAGGCCCTGACAGCAGGATCAGTTGGCTCATCAGGCGCAGCCATTGGCAGGACGCTGAGCTGACTCAAGCTGACAATGCTGGGGCTGCAAGGACTGAGTGAGAAAAGCAGAGCATCTAAATGAATAATTGTTCCACAGCAAATTGCTCAGGCCCACAATAGAATACAAGTGAGCCACAATACAATATGAAGTGAATGTGTATGGACAGAAGCTTGTCCAAAAAAAACCAGCCTATAAAAACAACAGGTTTGGCCCAGTTGGCCAAGCTCAGCTTTCATCCTGACTTTTTTCTCCGCTGGCTGAGCAACTGCTGCTGGCAGGGCTGCATGGGCAGCTTCCCGCATCCCAAATCAAACACCTCCAAAAACCGCTTGCCCATATATGGAGACAAGCAATCAAGCAGCTGGCGCACACGCTAACTCACTAGATCCAGGCTCAGCTATTGGCTCAGGCAGGGGGCAAAGCTTCTTGGCAACCTGCTCTACCTCTGCCTTCCTCTCACAGAGCTCTGCTTCCAACCGGGCAACGTCATCTTCCAATCTGCGCTTCCGGCCCTGCAATCTCATTTTTTCATGATGCTCTACAAGATCCATCTGGGTTTTGTATTTTGCAGTCAGGCTGACCTTCATCTTGAAGGTGTTGACGAGTAACCCAACTTCTTGATTCTCAATCATCCGAGTCAGGCCAATGGGATTGATAAGCCAAAAGGAACACAACGGGCTTGAATGTGGAGGAAGTGTGTCCAGCAAATCTTTGGTGCTAAAGCGCAGCAGGTGCAAGCAATCTGACTCTTGACCACCAACGGATTGCAGTGGCTTGTAAGCAAAGAAGCCCAAGGTCATTGCCGTGATATGGCTGGCAACCAATGGCACTCCAATGTAGTCACCGGTCAAGTTGCAGCAGTTCTGCAAGAGCACTTTCATGTCTTCGTCCCGCTCATTCTGCAGGAGCAGCTTGAGCAGGGGTAAAGCACGTTTCACATGCAGCAATTCCTTCAATGGCAAACACTCAGGTGGCATTGCCAAATAGTAGGTGCATGGCAAGTCTTTCTCCGTGCTGCCAAAAGTCAGGCTGTGAGGCACTGGAAAGCTCGGCTGGATGCTTGCAGACCTAGAGCATGCAGCTGACAGGCGCTGAATCATCCACTTGCTACTTTCTTGGATCCATTGTTAGACATATATCATAATAGATATTAATAAAGAATTTATGCACAAAATTAATTTGTATTTAAAGGTTGGTGTTGTGCTGCAACCAAGTCACACTAGATCAACCTTCCACTTGCCCGGCAAATCAAGAGGCACAAACGGCTGGAACGGCCGGTGCATGTCAAAGCCCTTGTGCTCATGGAGCGGCTTGATGATGCCTTTGACAACCTGCTCAGCAACGTTCTCCTGCGTTTGCAGGCGCCAAATCACATAGTTTGGGGACTCCAATGCGACGTCCAACTTGCCACCACGTGCTTTGAGCCCCTTTCCCTTGACTGGCGTTGCCTCATGCGAGTCAGTCAATGTCGCACCTAATTTTCGAGCTGTTTCTTTCCGGGTGTAAGAAATGGCAGACAAAGGGCTAGCAGACCAACGCATTGGTGATATGTCAATATGGTAGTTCCCGGCGCAATCCTGTGAAGACAGCTCGTCAAAGCACCTCTGCTCAAAAGCATGGTAGCCAATGGTTGTCCAAGCCATCTTGAAGCTGATCGGTATCTATGATTGAGCAGCTTGGATGCAGGTGCAGCTTCAGCAGTTGGGGGCCAAAGCAGCGGCAGGACTGTGATGGAACGAATTATTCAAACATGTAGCTATCTCAACAAGTCATGATGCACAGAACTGGATAATTTTTTTTGGAAACGAAATGTCACACTTGTAGTTTCACACAAGCTCTCAGCTGAGGGGCAAAACCTAAAATAGCTTGAAGCTGAAGCGGTCCATGGCTCAGCCTTTGCCACAATTAAAATCTTCAGATGCTTGAAAGGATGTCGTATCAATACAGGAACATATGCTATCAAGGAATGTGCTACACACAGCAACACAGCCACCAAATCCGGAAACTGGGGGCAAGGCTGGCATGGCTGGGGCTGCTTTTGGCGCGGCAATCCTATTCCTGCAAGGCTTGATGGGGAAACATCCAGATCTGTTTAGCCAGCTCGAAAGTCGACCACTACAGATGGACGGAAAAGAAGAAAGTGGCAACAGTCCAGGACCCGGCTGACTGCAGGCAAAACGTGAGGAACATCTGCTTGCCACCAGTTGCCTTAGTTCTATCAGCAGGGAGAGACTCCTGCACCTCTGGTCTCTAATATATTATATAGAACTGCACAACAAGTTCAGCCTGGATACATCTAGCCTCAAAGCACCAATTCTTCACTACATGGATGCACTTGCATGCGTTAATCAACACCATGGACTCGCCGCTGGAGCCGCTGGAAAGCTTCTGCATTAGACTCTTGACACCTTTCTGGCCAGACAGCGGCTCCAGGTCAGCCAGCACCGCCTCCCGCATCTCATCCGGCGACATGCAGGCCCATCTGCCAAAGCACTTGCTGTATGGCCCATTCCTGACGGTGCAAGGCTGAAATTCAATCAATCCCAAACAGACATGACGCTGGATTGCACATACTGCAGCTTTCCTATAAGTTACATATTATATAAGTTAAATCATATTGATTTCATTCCAAAAATCCATGGCTGGCTTTCAACTTCTCCATCATCCATTAAGCCACCACCCCTCCCCAGCTGTCGCAAGCTCTCGGCCAAATGAGGCAGCATGAGCTTGTGGGCAGGGCATTGGATTTCAGGAAGCCTCGAACAAACAACCGAGGATGAATGAGCAAACTATTCAGATCATGGGCCATAGCAAAGGATGGCCATGCTATGAACTCATTCAGTCAAAAAACATATCCACATCCACTGTCCAACCATCTTCGCTGGGGCTGCTGGAACGCTTGCGCTCAATGAACATAGTTTCCAAGCTGCCGTCCAAAAATTGGCTTGACAATCCAAGGACATCAGCCAACCTCATCTTGCCAGTGTCTCGGTTTGGCCTCACACGCATTGCCTGGCCAAACAGGTGATGTCAATAGTTTATGATGGAAGCTAAATGCTTATTTATGTATCTAGCCTTTGGTGCCACATTCGAATTGGTACAAATATTACATCTATTTATTAATGGTTCTTATTGAACGTGTTCATTCTTCTTGTTACTGTTATTTCTATTTTGTTGCATGATTGAAGCCACAAAATGTTTTGTAGAATCAGGAAACGTGTCTGAAACATGCATATACTGCAGATCAAGTATCACGGCTCTGTGCACATATGAAGGCATAGTGGATGAACTTAAATATATTATTGTATATGTGGCCATCCCAGGAAGTGCGCTGCTTGCTTTAACTGCTACGGATAACAGTAACACCTTGTTTAGTAATAATGGCAATATTACTGACGCTAAAATAGCAATAGCAGGTGCAGGTGGTTCAGTAATAGAAGTGCAACCAAAGTTCCAGCAGCAGCAGGGAAGGAGCAGTAGTAGCAGTAGCAGTAGCAGTAGCAGCAGCAGCAGTAGCAGTAGAAGCAGTAGTAGCAGTAGCAGTAGTAGCAGAAAGTAATAGTAGCAGTAGTAGTAGGTTGTCGTCGTCGTCGTAGAAGTAGTCATACTAATAGAGGCAGTAGCAGTAGCAGTAGCAGTAGCAGTAGCAGTAGCAATAGCAGTAGCAGTAGCAGTAGCAGTAGCAGTAACAGTAGCAGTAGCAGTAGCAGTAGTAGTAGTAGTAGCAGTAGTAGCAGTAGCAGCAGCAGCAGCCCCAATAGTAATAACAGCAATGGCAGCAGTAGCAGGGTAAAACTATTATTGGCAATAGTGTAGCAGTAGCAGTAGCAGTAGTTGTTGCTATAGTCAATGTAGTTGTCAATGTTGTTGTAGTATTAGCTGTAATCTTGCAATTTGGCATAGTAGCAGTATAGCAATGCAATAATAACATGGAATATGGAATACGCGCGCGTTACAGCACCTAGAGGGCTAAGCAATCACGCAATGAAAATATTTGACTAGTTCGCTACCCGCTACCCCAGAAACACGACAGACAATTTGGGGGAATGAATTCTCAATCAAAACAGCCTTGGCATTTTTCTGCTTCCTTTGCTTCACTTTCCGAGGTGGTAAATAGGCTCTCCGGTTGCCAGGACCTTTCGTGGCTCGCCAGAAAGCAAGAATCCCATCCAGCAAAGAAAACTGCAAAGCTGTCTTCTTGGACTGGGCGCGGTCTAGCAGGAACTTTGCGAACCTGAATCCATTTTGCATGTATTGCATCCACAACTTTGACATTGAGCACTTGGCAAAAATGAGAATAAAAGCATGCCAATTTCTTTCAGGAAACGGCGGATTGCGAAGATACACCGCCACCAACAATACACCCAGCTACTCAGTCCTTTCCAACTGTAGAAATGAAGCAGTCTCCTGCAACTTGAACAGGTGCGTCGTAAGCTTGTCATGTCCTGACAGCAAAGCCAATTCATGCGATCACCAGCAGCAATATCAAATTCCATATATGCAATCCATGACAACTCTACTTCAAACGGCACGGCTGCTCTGGCTGCAGAGGGCAGCTTGACCAGACCCTTGGCCGCGCCGATTTGACCCTTCAATGTGCCATTTTGAAAAAAATGCGCGTTGAAGGGTCAATTTGGCGCGTTGAAGGGTCAAATGCACATATGTATGTATATAGATAAAATACACATATGTATGTGTATATATATATATATAAATTACATTTAATATACATTATATATATATACACACTATATAATACATGTATAATATATATACAAATATGTAAACACAATAATATATATATATATTATATATATATATGTATATATACATATACATGTTCATAATATACATTTATATATACATATATTATTTCAATATAATATTTATTAGTATTATTATTATTAAATATATATTAAAAGTTTTGAGGGGCAGGGCCAAAACAATTCTGCGAAACTTCCTCAATTTTTGAACTTGACAAAACCAAGAGCGAAACAATTCTGCGAGGCTTTCTCAATTTTTGAACTTGACAACATCAAAAACGAAACAAGTCTGCCAGACTTCCTTAATTTTCGAAGTAGACAATATCAAAAACGGAACAGTTCTGCCAAACTCCCTCAATTTTCGAAGTAGACAACATCAAAAACGAAACAATTCTGCAAGACTTCCTCAATTTTCGAACTTGACAACACCAAAAACGAAACAATTCTGCGAAACTTCCTTCAAAAATGGAAAGTTAGCAGAGCTGATGGCCTCATACCAATGCGTTCTGCGATTTGTCCACTTCACCTGTCTAAGGTGCTGCACCTGTCACACAAAATCATCTCAGCAAGCCTGAAGATCTGATGCTCCAAAATGCAACCTCTCTCAGGAAATCAGCGCCCTGACCTCCGAACAGCTCTGATGAACATGTCACTTGTATTGTGCCTGCCACGTGAAAGACATCTTGCAAGATCCTCTGCATATGTCCCACGCCTGCCATTGTTTTAGGAAATGCAACAAAACCCTCGCATGTTGCTCACTTTTGACCAGGTGCATAATCCCTGAGGCCTGCCATGCAAAACGACATCTGAACGTCAAAAGCACTCCGAATCCGTATTTTTTTTACACTTTTGACTTCGAAATGTGCTTTGTGCCACAGCGGCATGCACTTTTTCGACATCTTAACTTCCAAACTTGCTCGGACACTGAGGTGTTTTGTACATGTTGCACATTTTGTACTTCCAAAAACGATTTCCTACAACATGACCCTAGAAATCGACCTTTTATGGGCTTTGAGGGCAGCCATTCTTCAGGGGAAATTGGAATGGAGAGAGAGAGATATATATATATATGTATTTACTTATTTACTTATTCATTTATATTTGATATTTGTAAATATTATATATATATATATATTATATATATACTACGCACCGCCTACACTATAAATAGCATTTATATTAATACATAATTATTGTCATAAAGCAGGTGAACATGGGAAAAAAACGCTGCAGAAATGGTCGACCCTGCAATAAGAGCTGATCCTGCCAGACATGGCATGCCACAAATTTCATGCATCACATGAATCAATAGCCGCTGGACTCTTCTGAATAGTGCTGAATCATGCTGGATAAATACAACAGGACCAAGTAGCAACTATCAAAATCAAAGCGATACGATTATACGATCACCAACCAAGCCCTGGTGATCGCATCCCCAGACCATGCATTAGTCAAGCATCCCCTGGCTTTGGACACTGGGTGCAGGAAGCAACCTTCACAGGCTCTCCGGAATGTGTATGCCTTTCCCTGCAATCGCAAGAAGGGGTTCGGCAAGTTCAGGATCTTCAAGACCAAATTTGAAGGCTCCTGCACAAATCTTGGGCAGCTTGGGCAGCTTTGATGGTGGAATTTGGCACCACAAACTTCACATGACGATTTCCCCATGAGATTTCCAAAAGCCATTGATTGAATAATGACCACAAGAAAAGCAGCTCCGAGGCCAGCGGAGGAATGTTGCACTTGGCACGGTACAGCAGGTAGGCAGCTAGCAATGCCTGAACTTCAAGCAAGCGCTCTTTAATCTAAAAAAGGCTTACTTAGAAATCAGAATGAGCGAAATGAGAATATCACAGCTGCGAATATCACCAGAAAAGGAAAAG